TGGACTGAAAGAGTGTGGAGATCTTGGGGGAGGGAATTCCAGAGCCTGGGAGCTGCCACAGAAAGGCTCTGTCCCTGAAGCTGTGTAGTTTGGACTTACCTTCCCATGGTCTCAAGCACAGACTCTGTCAGGTCATAGGTTGGCATGACAATGTCTCTGGTGTTGTTGGAGCCACACCAGGAGAAGATGGGGTGAATCCTCTCACTGGGTTTCCTCTTCTCCAACGGCCAGTCGCCCAGGTTAACAAAGAACTCCAGATCAGGGAGCCGCACCTGGACGGATAATACACATTAAAGCATGCTGGTATTGATGGAAGGCATTAGAAAATATATATTTATTTTAAAAAAAAAGACAAAACACTACACTATTGTGGCTTGCAAATTCATGGAAATGTTGTGCATTCTTGCAGTGATTAAATATCTCTATATCCTTATAACCTCAGAATAAAAAAGTACATCTCACATGGAATTGGGAACAGAAAAGCAATGTCATATAAAGTAATGTCTAAGTGACAAATGAAATGTATTAATGAACAGTTAAAGATTCAAAATCTTAAACATTTTGGGGTTTACACATTTTTACGAACGTACCTTTCTGGTGATTGACAGGAGGATGGAATCCATAAAGATTCTGAAACCCACATGCTCTCCATAAGTTTGAACGTACACCTAAAGAAAATATAATAAAGCTTTATCAATATGAACAAATACTGGGGTATTCAGGAATTCCCCTATTCTTAATTGCAAATGTATTTTGGTGATGACGACGATGTGATGTGATAAGCTCAAAGCTCTGGATGCTCATAAGTGGACCTACAGTTGGGCTGGACTTTCAGACTAGCATTTCCATTACATATAGGAAAAAAGGATGAACTTAGTCAATAGTGAACCTAAAATTACGAAATGTTGTTTGGACTCAACCTGTTTCAAAACAGAATGTATCTATTACCATTTGATATTAAATGTCTGGCAAATGATACATTTCTGGATGCTCCCAAGTAATGCTTACATTTTGGCAACAGGACTTCAGAAGTATCACTATTACAGGAACCTGGGTGGATGTCCACAGTGGTATTTTGAGAAGATTGTACCCTTACACACCTGGTTTATAAACTGTTCTTCCTACAGGTGTGTCACATTGCTCCAGGCTCTCCTGGCCTACTTTACTATATCACAAGGACTTAGTTACTATTTGGCCTAAAGGATAGTATTTGAAAGAAAAAAAGAATATTGTCCGTTTGCTAAGAATGGTCCTAATCCTACTGTTCATCATATTGCCTATTTCTTCTGTGTTCCGGGTGTCATAGGTGGAGGCACCTTGTTGTCTTTGATAGTGTAGTGGCAGAGGCTTTGTCTCTGTCCGAATCGCTTGGGGATCTCATCCGCGTTACGATCAGGGTCCACAGCAGCATAGAGGGCCAGGTCCCTCTCTATCTGAGGGAAGGACTGAGGACACTGCATGTCGGCCTCCCACACAGAGCCACTGGTCTGGGGACAGTCACAACCCTCATGGTAGACTTGGCCTGCAGAGGAAAAAAAGAGAGTTTTTAGAGAGATCCTGAAAAATCTTATCCTAAAACACACCTTGTGGGAACTTTGATTGTGTTCTACCTTTGAGAATGAACGGTGACTTGGCCACGTGTTTGTTCTTGAGCAGAACGTTGATGTGAAGGTCCGTGTAGGTGGCATACATTCTGTAGCGGACCAGGAAGGAGCCATCATGACGATCCAGGACCTGGATCCAGATCCTTGTGAACTGCTCTGCTGGAGACTCGATCTTCACTTCAAAGGTCTTCTCACCAGGTGATGTTGTTAAACTGTGGAGGAGGATACATAAAGAGAGTGAGCTCCTGTTAATGGAGCTGGACAAACACTAACATGCTGGCACACCGAGTGAAACAAGAGTAACACCACACTAACTTAAGCTGTGATAAACTAAAAACACTACATTTACACACTAAGTTGTATAAATATGACCATCTGAAAAATATTTACATTATCTAAATCTAAGCATAATACTTTTTTTCTGATACTAATTTGACAGTTGGTTTAGTGTTACTTTCCCAGGGAACAGGGACAATAGCAATAGCTATTATTTAAAGCGCTCACATATTTAATTATAAGCCAGAGATGACTTGTAATACCCTGGTTACTTGCCAACATATTTTTGTCTCCAGATAAAGGTGATACATTAAACTCTAAAGGACCAGCATCTGACATTTTAATTGTAGAATATTAGCCTAATTGCTCCGACTGTAGTTCAGAGGAGAGATACATTCTCCTGACTTCCACAGTAAAGCTGACTTTAACCTACATGATTTGTTTTACCACTACTGAAATTAAAAATGCAATAACAATTATAATCACGGTAATATTGTGTGTACTTTAACCTCATAGCCATAGTTTGATTTCCTATGTTCCAAAGAAATTACGATTTTATATATTTATACTTTATGACTGTATTGCAATTACATTTGAAAAGTTGTGCATTAAAGACATAAGGTCTGTTCAAGCTGATATCATTCTGTATTATTATATTTTATTATCTTTTGTTGTGTACCAAAAGCCAACAACAATATAGTCCTATGTTGCAGTCATGAATGTAAGTGCTAAACCATCTTGAGAGGCAAAGCATGAATGTGACGCCCACTGAGTATGGTAACTCCCCAGAGTGGGATAGTCTTCGTTGGGCCCATGGGTGCTCTTTTACAAAAGGGGTTATTGGAGGTTGTATGACTCTTTCTCCCTGAGGTGAAGACTGTCTGCTCTCAATTTTGACTGTCTGCTCTCAATTTTGACTAGCAAATATCAGCATTGCTCAAAGCAGAAGACACTGCAGTTTAGGGGGTTATGGTTTGTACTGTAGGACCTCTCAAACAGAACAATACTAACCCTAACATAAGACCATATGTTCCTAGAAATTATATTCAAACAGTAGGGGTTATCATATTTGACTACATTTATTCCTGGGTGGGAAAAATCTACATCTGGGCATTCAAGCTCAAAAAGATAATTAATATTTTATGAGTAATTTAAGACCCTCTAAGAAATAAGGTAATTATTTTAAAAACAAACATAGAAAAGTCTAAACATTGTTGGGGTGTGTATCTTTTTATAATTGCAGAGTTGTTTAGCAATGATAAATGTTACTTTTTGTCACACACTTGTAATAATACAAATAGACAAAATGGCTCTTAGCACAACCACTTGTTACATATACAAAAGGAAACAAGCTCCCCAAAGTGTTTTCTGCCCCATCATGCCACCATAGAAACTCCAAAGTATGATGCTACGTGGAGCATATGAAAGCACCATTGATAGCCATTACAATTTAACAGATAGTTGCTCATGGAAACACGTCCAGAAGCGATTAGCAGGCCTGACGTTACTCACTTTGTGCCCGATCCATCCACCGCCTGAATGAAGAAGAACCGCGCCGGGAGGACGACGTCCGTCTCGAGCCCGGGTCCCCACACTAAAGTTTGGGCTGCACTTAGCACCGAGTCTGCCTGAGCCCCGAGAAGGACTTCATGTCTGAAGATATCCAGACAGAAAAGCAGCAGCAAACACGAAAATATCCGCAGAGACATACCTGTACAGAGCCCACTGTCCTCTAACGTTTGCCGTTACTTCTCTCCCCACAAATGTTCATTGCCCAGAAGTGCCATTGTTAAAAAAAATGCCGTAACATGAAGAAAATGGATATACTGTATACAGTCTGCAAGGCTAGCTTACGTTTTAATGTTGCGTTTCCATTAGTAACAACAACAACTCAGCGGTGGCATTGCTAATGGCTTATTCTTGGCTAATACTTGTGCATTATTGTGTTATTTGAATATGTTTTAGTGATAAAACAACGTTAACGCTAGCTAACTTCGACATTCCTGCACAGTTTTGTGAACTATCTGCTGCTCAATGAATAGGGGGTGGGATGACCATGTAGGATGCAGCAGTCTCATTGGCTAGCACTTCACCATATTTGGATCTGATTGGCTGAATGTGCAAAAGACTCTTGGTCTAATTCTGATTGCACAGAAATCCGGAAGTTGAAGCCCTTGCTACATGTTGGGCGTGATCCCATGCGTGATCCACATCCATGGGCGTAATACCGGCTATTTTTCATAGGTTTATTCCATAGACTGTAAATATATTATATAAAGGTTTATTCACTGGCAATTGTTTCTGGCTAAATCAATGGATGAATGGAAATGTATGAAATGATATGCTAACACATTTTTTCTTAAACCGCCAGATTCTCTCTGAATTACAACATTTTTAATGGTAGAAGTATTCATATTTAAACGTAATTCATTTAAAGTAGCAAATTAGAAATGCAATCATTTAAACTTAGTAAGTACTGAATGTACAGTAGACAAATACCACCTTTAATAGCTATGTATAAAATCTTATATTTGTTTTTTTTATTTGCCGATACCCTTATGTGTTAGTATTATTTTTACTGTTGTAGTTGCTGCTGGTGGAGCTCATTTGATAATGATTATGATATATTGCTGCATCATTTTAATTTGCACGATCATTTTAATTTTCAAATTAACTAGTCACAATAGCTGTCAAATAATGTAATATATTTGAGAAAAAGATACAATATTTTTCCTCAGAATTCTAGTGGATTAAAATAAGATAGTGGCTTTGAATTCAATTTAATCTCAAGTAAAATACTTGAGTAAATGAGTTGCTCTTTTACTACGCAGTGGCATGAGTGGATGCATTTAGAAATGTAATGGATATAACCTGCTTAAGATTTGTCAGCCCACAATTACAATCTATGTTGGATGCATAACACATTTTGACAATTGCTATAGGTTATTTAATAGGCAGCTACAACATATGTCCTATCATGTTAATGAAACGTCTTAGATTTTTTGTGAGATCATTTGCTCACTATTTTATGCTTCTTATAGTAAAAAAGCATCAACATTACACTGAAAGTAAAATAAACCTTTATTAACAAAAAATAAACAATAATAATAGTACCACGTTCAAGCTAGCATCCTTGATATGAGGATGTCAAGATCCTTAGTAATTCATAACGTCGTACTTTGTGCAAGTCAGAAAACACAGAGCTCTCAACTGTGTACATCAATCAATGTTTATTTCAGTTTGCTTTTGCATCAACATATTTTCAGTTCTTTTTTGTCAAGTAATTTCTATTACACTAATATAATATCAATAAGAACAAAAAGTGGTAGAATCCATTTAAATAAGACAAACTTTGCTGCCATCATTGAGAAAAACAGAGAAATGCTTTTCCAGAATACTACAGTGTTAGGAACTACAGAGTCCCAGTGATTTAGACAGAGCCAGAATACCAGAATACAGTACCAGCAGTAACAGGTACAACATATACAGAGAAAAATATCCCGAAAATGTCTTTATCTTTTATCATTTTTTGTTTCACCTTCCTCCCAAGATTGAACTGTACAGGTAATATAAAAACCAAAAACATACAAACCGAAAACATACTAACAAAACACCCTGTCAGTAGAAGTCAGAATTGTTTTGTTTTTATTTCCTTTTGTTTTAGTTTTTTTGCGATTTTTTTTCTCTGCCATTGAAAGAACTGCACTGAACACAAATCTCATTAACGGTACAGAGATAGGAGAGTCATTTATTTTTTCTGACATGTTTAAGACACCTCATTCAATCAAATCATGTGTAATTTCAAAAAATCTGCATGGCACTGCTTTAGGGATTTCAGGTCGGGTGTGGTGGAAGAAAAAATGGGTTTGAAGGCAATTTAAACTGAAGAAATGCCTCAGCAGAAATGACTAGCAATGCAGATAGATTATGCTAGTAAGTAATTAAGTATTATTTTTTCAGGTTTTGAGCGTATGTGTGGCTGTGCATATTTCATGTAGGAGTGACGTCAACATGGTCAAGGCGCAACGCTTTTTAAGTGTTAATGCTCGTGTTCATAAAGGCCTGATGTGTGAGAAATGGATATCAACAATCCTCTGTTTGGTTTTTCAGATCAAGTCAAGATACAGACATATACACAAGTACAAAATATCCTCCTCAGTTAATGCTGTTTGCCCGTGTCATGTGGCTACCCATTGACATGTACAACACAATCACAATATGATACACAACCATGTATCATGAAACATTTGTTGTTTTTAACATACAAGAGCCTTCAGCTGAGAGGCCATCACTATCAAATAGGACTGCGACGAGAGGATATCATAGTCATCAAGAACAATATTGAACGAAAATAAGAACATATTTGCCTTCGGATGAAATTACCGCAAATGTTTTACACATGTACATAGTTTTTTCACTGACTCACATCTGAACATCACTGAAAACAAAATACTGTTACTTCTCCTGAATCTTTTACTGATTAACGACTCACAAGGGAGTTGGTAGCGTGTGTGATTCCAACTCCTCTTCCGTCACAAAGACACTGACAATCATTGAAATTATTGTTTGTGATCATGAGAGGAGCTCAGGTAAAAACGCATAAACCACAACTTCCAGAAGACAGAGGGATAGAGAAATGGGAGGGTGTCATTCATGTTTATGGCACCCTTTCTCTGTCTCTCTCTCTCACACACACAAACACACACACCTAATGGCTCACTTGACTCATACGTCTGACAAAGGCAGCTAAAGACTAAAATGGTGAACCAGCAAAACCCCAAAAATAAAAAACACCCTCAATTTCTTTTCATAAAGATAACTGTGAGTCTGATAAATGCCCTCCAAGTCCAACTCAATGTCTCATCTGTTCTGATCAAACAGGAAACATGATGACTTTCACATGTTAGCTCTTTGTTAGTACGTTTTCCGTGAGTGGATCCACTCATCTTGTTTTTTTATGGCACGTGAATAGTATATAGGTTCATACTATAGCTATAAACACACTGTGTACAGAATATGCTTTTAGCCTCTCTCACAACAACCTGCTCTCTGTTTCCGTACAACTGTAGTTGGGTATGTGAGATATTACTCATCATTTAATCATTTTTTTAAGTAGCAGCCGAAAAAATGATATTAGCGTGGTTACACTGTGCGGAGGTAAGTGTAAATACAACAGATTTGTGTTTGCCCTGTGCAGCCCAGAGTAAGAACAGAGCATTATTCTAAGTGTGTGTATAGAAAGCGTACTATGTGCATCTATATTGTGGCATTACATATTGGCTGAGACTAAGAAAAAATTATTAAAAAAAACCAAAATTAAAGGGAAAGGAACACAAGTTTTGGCTTAATAGCAATGCAGGTATACATTTCCCTTTTTATATATAGTTTTCTGTCAATATTTCAAAAAATATAAAGTTTTTTATAGGTTCTGTTGTTGGCTTATATCATTAAATAAAACTTTTTTTTATTTGTGTATCTCCTGTTAAAGTAGCATGCTGCTTTATTATATGGCAGTTGGATATTTTTAATAGTCATCCATTTTGTTTCATGCATTTCATGTTGGTTTCTCATCTTGAGTATCTACACAGTGAGGTCCAGAAAACCCAACCACACAGACACAGACATACACACACACACCCGCACAACCACACACACACACCCGCACACGCACAGACAGACTTGTCGGATTATTCCAGTTCCATCTTCAGACCATCAAACATCGCCATTCCTTTCTGTCCTCATCACTACATGTCTAGACAAGGAACCAACACGTCCCCGTCCTTCAACAATGTGACAGTGCCGCAGCCAGTCCAGAAGCCGTAAAGACAAAGTCACTCCTGAGTCTCTCTTTTAATTGCTCTCATTTGTAGAGTGAAAGTCTCTGTACCGGCGTTAAGCTCCCAGCAGTCCGAGCGCAGCCTCAGATCTCCTCCCTGTTTTTAGAATTGGTACCACTTCTTGTCCTTGCACTTTAGCATCAGCTGTAGAAAGGCAAAGACACAAACAGTCAAACAGTCAGTTACTGCATTATGTTAATTTAGAAAAGTACTGTTTTGCTTTTCTTTTAAGCTTCTGTATATAGCATTTTAAATATCAGTATCTATATGTAGAATTCAAAATAAATAAATGTTGGAGCCACCAGGAGCTGTTCTTCACAAATAAGATTGAATAAAATAGGATTCCTTGCCAGATTACTGTAAATTGATATGAAAATTACATTTTAGAAATGTACTGAATGATGTATTTTAATCTACAATTTCAAATCAACTGAAAAAATTGTATACATATTAAATAAAAAATGTATTCTGCAATACAAAAAACAAACGGTGCATTTTTTCCTGTATCCATATCCTCAATACAATTTAATTTCAGTTTACAACATCTTTCCAACATTAATTTTTTTATTAAATATTGAAAGATTGAAAATAAATCATCTTCCTGGTTATATTTGGTTTTGTGCCACATGAATCTTGCTTTCACCTCATGAGCGTGTTTGGAGAAGACGTCTGCACTGGTCATCATGAGGGCGGTGCGTTCCTCCAGCTCCCCCAGCCGCTGGCCTCTCTCGTCTAGAGCGATGCGCGCCCGGGCCAGGTCCCCCACCACCCCGCTCGCTGCCACCTTCATGCCCTCCATGCCCGCCTGCCCGGGGATGTGCTGGGCCAGGCTGCGCGAAGCCTTCCCAGCTGATGCCTCGCCAACTGTCAACAACATCAGGCGAAGGAAAGGTGACGGGAGGCATAGAAATAAAGATCCTCTGGGTAGTGCTTAGCTGTGGTGGAGTCATATGGTTCTTTTTAGATGTATTAGTTACATGAGACATTGTTTTAAGTGGATTAGTACACACATGAAACAAGAGAGTAAAGAGAATTAACGCACATAGCTCTTCTCTGTCGAAGTTATGAGAGTTTCCTCCGAAGAAGCCCTTTAGGAAGCCTCTATTCTGGGCCTCTGGTGTTTCTATAGGTGTAAACAGCTCCCCCAGCATCTCCTGAAATAAATGAGGAAAACAATTCTTTAATACAATGTTTCTAATTATGCACCCGACATGTATTGCTTGTTTTTTTCATCATATATTTATCATACTCGTAGGATCCTATTTTTATTCCTTTTCTCTTCCCTTTCTCAACTTCTTGACACATTTTCAGTAACGGTTGTTGCCTTTAGGTGGCACTATGGCAGCATCATGTGAGCTCCACTGAGCCGATTATCATTAGTCACAAACACTGTAAAACTATATCCACACAATCAACCCAGTGGAGTTCAAACCCCACATGTCAAGTGTGACATTTCACTTCAACGGCCTCTGTCAGCTTGCAGAGGGTGGGAATAATGAGAACCTGTTTATTTACTGCTGCTCCAATACATTTCTTTGTTCCAAACTAAAATGTGATATCAAAAAGCGAAATTGAGAGATGATGCATGTCACAGATAAAGGGATAAACACTCTTGTAGATAAAAAAGCAAGATAAGAGTGACAGATGGATAGATAGCACACTGCAGTACTAACCTGCAGGTTGTCACACATCTCCTGGCTGTATGTAATTCTCTGGATCTCTGTGGGGGAGCTGAGGTATAGAGCCTGCCCCCCGTTGGTGAAGCAAAAGGTTCTTGCAATGCGCATATCAGTCAGAGGCAGGTAATTAACATCCATCAGCGGTCTTAGGCTGGGCAAACTGCGGAAGAATAATAGACAGATTCAGGACGAGGAACACATTGTAACTACTCCACTGCGTAAATCACAAAAAAAGGAAATCCTTATTCAGTAATCTCATACCTGCATTGTATATATATCTTTAAAAGCTGTCTTTAATGTTGAAATGTACCTATTACTACTATAAGTACATCTCCTTTAGAAAACAAAAAAATCTCAAGATATTTCCGTATTAACATGACAGTCAAATATTTTCTGCATTAAAAACATTATTTCCAGAGTTGTGTTTAAATTAAATACTCATCATTTGATTACAATATGAACAGCTTACCCGTGATAAGGACGCATGTTATTAAATGCATCATCAGTGCAGGCACTCTCAACGCAAACGGTCAATATAGCAGGCAAAATAACTCTAATTAATTGTCTAAGCTAAAGTGGTGTTATCGAAGTTATTGTATTATTCATTTTTTTAGCTCCGATTCAAGCCAACGTTATAGCGGCAGAAAAAAAACATAAATAACGAGTAAGCCGTGTTCATTTCAGGTAAATTGTAGGTAATTAGACGGTTTACCTGAGAGTCATGATGTGCCCGTTGGCACAGAAGCAGGCCAGGCACACACTGTTGCTCACAGACACCACGTCGGCGCGCAGCACGAAGGACGACTCGGTGATGTTGTGGACGAAGAGGACGGACTGCGAGGGCATCAGGATAACTTTGGCCTGCCTCTCGGAGCACACCACAGCCAGATGTCCCTCTCCGCAGGAGTCCTGGGAGGACGACGGCGAGAAGTGGACCAGCTTGCGCTTCCGCACGCGGTCAGGGTCCTCGGGCCCGTTGAGGTCCCGCCAAACCTCGTAGGGGCTCTGAATGAGCGATCCCATGCAGTCCAAGAAGCCAAATCGTAAAACTGAGCCCTTCAGCATCAGCACCGTGCCTTTGGGTAGAGTCAACAGAGGGAAGGCATGAAGTAAAATACCAGTTTCAAATATCAGGCACAGGCCGAGATGGTCCCAAAGGCTAAGAAATGAAGTTAAATACAACATTTACTGCAGAAAAAACAATACACAGGAAGGGGTTCAACAATACCTGACGTTCTATTCACCTCTATTTCCTTGAAACTGAGTGTGTGACCTTCAAGTTATAAACTTTGTTCTTGCACGCTCAGTCTCAAGAGAATGGCTGCTGCTTCAAAGAGCCTGGATTTTAAGGTCTATTGATGTTTTAACTGCGATTACAAAGAGAGACCTTTTCCATCACACAGCAGGGTTTCTGGAGGACTAAGGCATGTTCGAGTGGCTCACCTTTCTCTAGTCAGATTGTTTAGTCAATGGGGCTGCAAAATGTATCCATGCAAGACCACGCATGATCAATGCCTGAAGTTCTCCATGACAACACTTCTTATCTTATCACAATAAATATGGTTTTTAGAAGCCTTTGGTATAACTAAATCAGGGTATGTTAGATGCTGCTCACACAGCTTCACAAAGTGCACTTAACTCCTGGGGAAATTACCTGCTCTTATTTTCAAAGCCTTGCATTGCATCACCACTTCTCAAATGTCCGAGTGGGTGTTTTGTGTCAAACGCACAAGTGGTGTTGAGATGAAAGGTAATGTTCCTGTACTCAGATCAGTGTAGTGTGTTTTAAAAGTGAGTGTTTCCTAGCATTGTTTGTGAAATTGCTAGTTCACATCATAGTAATATGACTTTCAAAAGTATTACACTTGCAGCAGGCAACTGATTTCAGATCAAATGAGCTTGGATAAACACATTGCTGTTCAGCAGGGAACGGAAGACAGAAGCTGTTAGCAACTAGCTGCTGAACAAAGTGGAGATTTACGCAGCCAAAGAGACTACTATCTTCCTCAGGAGCTGGCTGAGACTAAAATAGGACAAATACAACAATATGTCCATACTGTGTTTCAAAAAATAAATAAAGTAACTATGAATGCAAGGCTTAAGTTCGATGGTACAGTTATTGTTTACAAAGTACCTAAAAATGAGCCTGACAAAACTTTGGACATTTTGTGCCAGTTAAATTGATCATTATTTTGACTTTTGCCAGCAGTTACTCCATTATAATCCCTAACACACTTTGCAACAGGGAAATGTAGAACATAAAGTACAGTTTTATTATTCTATTTTTATCAGGCAAATTCAAGCATTCAAAATCTCCATTAGACTTCTTGTCCGTCATGTGGAGCTTCAAACCAATCATCACAGCTTCAAACCCACAGGAAGCATGTTTAATAAAAAAGGCCCTGAATTGAAAATGCAATACCACTGAATAGGATTATGGCTTGGTTGTATAAGTGAGTGAATAGTTTAAAGTGATCATATTTTGATTTTATTTTGAGGTCTTTCTTCCTAACGTGTGATTTATTGTGTCTTGTCTTTTTTTTTACAAGACCTAAATCAGTTTTAAGTGGTTCAATGTATAATGTAGGCCAATGATTTGATGTTTTGTTGATATATTTGATTATTATCACAACTAATTACCAAGCCCAAAGTTTAGCCAGATCATTCAAATCTCATCATTTTGTGGAAAACCGTCTTCAGCCCCCTTACCTTTGTCAGTCCAGTTGTAGGGGGGGGGCTGTGATGCTCGTCATGGGAGTACACAGTGACTCTGTGAAACTGCTGAAGCATTGCCCTCCTGGACGCATAACCTACTACAACAGGTATCCCTGTTGTTGCATGAAATAGTGCGACTAAGAGCCGTACAGGTAAAAACACCCTTTGGATGAAATCTCGTCTCACTGGGACTTACCGCTGGGGCCCATGGTCACTGGTACCTCCATCCTCTCCTCGTGGTCTGTGGGAATGGACATTGGGATGACCAGGGCCACGCCTAAGCTGGTGCCCACCCACAGACATGGGTTGGGCAGGGCGTCGTTCTTGCGCCCGTAGGACTCTCCAAACTGCAGCGTGGTGATCGCCTCTTTGGTGTCCCGGTCGATGCTCGACACGCTGGAACTGCGTGAGCGGCTGAAGGAGTTTTCACGACTCTCTGTAGCGGCAGCGGACAAACACAGAGGCACGGCACAGGTGGACAAGATGCAAAAAGAGGAGGAGAGGGTCGTAAGGGCAAGAGGAAGGGGGAACGAGAGAGGAAACAGGAGAGAGAAAGGTCGATTTATGGAAGGGAACAGCAATGTGGGGGGAGAAGAAGAAAGAATGTAGGTATGAGAGGACAAGCCGTTAAAAGAAAAACATAGTAAGGAGGAGTAATAACAAGCGTGGAAGACAGATATTCTGAAGGTCACATTTATCTGCAAATTGTATCAAATGTGAAACACTGGAACACATAGGAAAAGGCCACTGAAACAATTTCATACACTGATAAGCAAAATGATTTTCATTACAAAGAGACCACTCAACAGAAACATATTTTCACAGCAGATCCTGCAAATACACACACACACACACACACACACACACACCAGATTATTGCACACACATACAACACGTTCAAAGAGTCCTTTAGCTCTGTTAGAGTGCTACCCATTCAGGTCCTCTATTGTGTACTTCAAGCCTCCATCATAAAAGTATTTCTGTATTGCTGCATTTCTGAATTATTCAGAGCCAGGCAATGTGCAGTACTGCATGCCCAGCCTAATGTTACACAGAGTGCAGACTTTACGTAACGACAAACTACAGATGGGTGCAAAGCCCGGCGAGCACACGTCAGGCAAAAAGGAAACCAGATGAGACGGATGTTCGATGTATGCTTTTCCCAGAAGAATTTGCACAGGCTTAAAAAAGACATCCACTTTTTATTGGGGGGAGCGTACTCCATCTGTCTGAACATTGTACACTTAACACTGCTGTATAAGATGGATTTACACCCCTGCTACTTTCTGGTACAAGCACTTTAGACGGAAAAGGGCCACAGGACGGACTGACATACTGACGGACGGACGGACTGACGTGGAATCATTAGCAGGACAGCAGTTGATGGTTTTTGGGCCGAAGCCCCCTTACCTTTGTCAGTCCAGCTGTAGGGGGGGGTGCTGTGATGCTCGTCATGGGAGTACATAGTGACTCCGTGAAACTGCTGAAGCATTGCCCTCCTGGACGCATAACCTACTAGTACCCCACAACATGAACCGACATATATAACAGACCACACCCCGCCATGCCCGAAAACACACAATCCCACACACACGCACGCACGCACGCACGCACGCACGCACGCACGCACGCACACACGCACACACACACACACACACACACACACACACACACACACACACACACACACACACACACACAAGTACAGCCGCCCAGCCAAAAACAGACAAGACGGACATATGAACAGCAGAACCAGAGAATGACAGAAGGAGAAAGAGAGAAACAGAAGCAACTGAGTGGGGAGAGATTGCTTCAAATATATTCAGAGACAGAAAAGGAGAGTGAGACTGAAAAAGTTTCCTCCCATCTATAATTCTCGTGGCCACACAACCTCTACGTGCTTATCCATCTTCTATCCAAACCCTTTTCAAGCACCATCTGCTCAGATAAACACTGCTGGCAGGAGTCCATGTTGTGAAAACTCTGATAAAGCATCCTTTAGTCCAGTGTGGTCGTTGAGGAGCTACAGTAATGTGCAGCACTGTTGCACAACATCATTTGCATACTGCTTTCTTTGACACTGCTGTTGAGATGATCCAAGTTTAACTCTCTGTAAAACCAAATATGTAACAAATTAAATCCGGCTCAAAACGTACTTCAAAGGACATCGTTAAAAAATGGAAATTCAGTTTTTTTCTTGTTTACCACAGAGGGAGAGCAGTATTACTATCAACACACTGTATTAAGAAATGTTTAAGTCCGGTGTCGTGACAACACTGCTGGACAATGCCACGGGCAGGAAGGAAAGAGAAAATAGCCTTTTTGCTGTAAGTCTCGGCAGCAGCAGCTCGGTTTTGCCGTGTGTTGCTGGGGTGTGTTTACGCTGTGTGAGCGACCCTTTGGGGGGCTGGCTAATGAAAGTCAGGCACGGTGGTTCTCTGACAGGACACAGGGACCCCTGGAGGGGCCCTGACAGGGAGCTAGAAGCAGGCGAGGCAGTGTCAGGGAGGTGATAAGGGACGGCATACAATCTGAAGAGGTGAGACAGACAGTTCCAGATTTATACAGCGGTACACGCACATACACCCACACAAGTGTAGAGAGACAAGGACAGACACCTGGAGACTTCACAGCGGTTTCTTTCTATCTACCACCAAAGAACGGGTACATGACTGTGCCAGGTGATGCTTTAATGCCAAGACACATCAATATATTTACTGTGCCAGATACATTTTCTAGGATTTAATTGTGTGGTTTATAGGGAATTGAAAAGATCTTTAATTCACAAAATGTAACATTTATTCGATTATGATAAGGTAGTTAATTGCATATATCCGTCAGGGACATTTTTTATCATTAAATCTTTAGAAAAGAAGGTTCTCCGCAGTTTTTTTCATCCCGTCAAACATTATTCTTTGTGTGTGAGAGTGGACCCGAGCGCCTTTAGAAAAAGCCTCAGCTATGTACAGTAAAAACACATTTCATTTATTGTAATATGATGTGAATCTGGAAAATTGAACGTTATACTTCATTTACGGCTAACACTGCGAGGAAATATCAATTCCTCTCTCTCACTAGGTAAAAAGAAAAAAAAACACGCTCTCTTTTTCATGGATTTTTAAATTCTTAAACAACCACTCCCGGTTTTTATAACCAAATTCGCAGGGAACGCTAACAGTATCATACACTCTGTCTTCAATATTTAATAGGTGTGCAGCCTCACCAAGATGGAAGTATTTACTGTACATTGAGTGTGGCTTCCCATGCCATTTCCCTCCTCTGTCTCCTCGCCTGGCATGCAGGCCTCATTAACATCGGCCTCATCTCTTGCAACGCTTGCTGACCTTTAATTATTCCAGTGATCCTGCTGGCTCTTCAGTCTTCACCGTGTGTCACTCTGTGGTAACCCAGTGAAACTGATAAACAACAGTGCCAAGGGTAGGACACAGATCGAAAATATCCAACGGTCTGCTGAGAAAAGCAACTGTTTACGCATAATAACGACAAACTGCGGTCTGGGTTGGGACTAAGGATGTTGTCAGTTTTGCCATTTGATTCGTACTTGTATCACATGCAGCTCTTATTGCTTACACATCTGATTCATGGCATGTCATTTGGCTGCATCATACATTCTAAAGTGATGGATGCGGTGGATCCTACAAACTATCGGAATTCTTCTAAAGCAGATTCAAAAGCTGTAGAGTGCTTAAATGAAACACAGCAACACATTTAAATATTGATATATAGTTCTGGATATTCCATTATATAAGAGGCGGATGTTTCTATCGATTGATACAGCATACATGTGTCAATGAATCTGAAACACATACAGTCTGCAGGTAATGTGTTACGCTGGCCAAGGGAAGAACAACTGTATTATCATTCATTATTGTTCTAGAGCCTGCGAGTGGTGCCTGGTTGGAAGAATATCCATTATACTCACAGTATGTGTTGGAAGCAGGAGTGTGCTCAGAAAACTTCACAGCAAGTTGCTTTCTAAATTATGCAATATCATGCGTGCCGGGTTGATATTTTGGTCAGAAGTTAGTGTGTCCAGTGGGAAAGGTTTAACCCAATGCCATCCACAGGGGTTATTAGAAAGATTATTACAATGAATCAGCTATTTCTTTGGAACACAGGAGGATTTTGTAGGGTCAAATTAAATATAATGCTGGATTTGGTGTATAGAAAATAAAACGACCAAAAACGGGCTTGAGATGACCACTGCCAATTGATTTAGGCCAGAGTTTTTCAGCACTATAAGAGTAGGAGACTGTGGAGGTTAACCCTCAAACACACAACTACATGATGCTTTAGTGTCAGACAGGAGCCGCAGAGCTTTCTCTAATAGAGTTCCTTTTAACTCAGCTAGCTGAGCAACACACAGTGCTGAGTGAAACAATACACTACGTTGCAATAACTTGATGTATTTTAGGAACATGGCAATACTAACTGACCAGAACCAATGATACTAATCGCACGATTGAGATGCCAAAACAGGCTATTTTACAATGCAGTACTCCATTTGTAAGTAAGTTTAATGGCCTATCAGGTACATCAATCCGTATACCTGTGTGAGATTCTCTATTTTGCTACTTCAAATATTAAGACGCTATGCTGCAAAATCTCATCTAAGTTTCATGTTAAATTACCTAAAAAGTCAGTTTAATAAATGTGTTTTAAGAGGTTTTAGAGCATTTAATCAACTGTGAAAAAAATAATTCTGCTATTGTCTGCATTTATTTGCTTGGTAGAGCAGCTGCAGCCCAGGCGGTGTGCTTTAATAAAACATTCAGCTTGTGCTAATGAAAAACTACTTCCCTCTCGGCGCCAGGTCAGTGTTGTATAATGAGGTCGATGAAGAATGCTGTGTGAATCTAATTGCAGAATTGGTGTAAAAGGGTCAACTCTGACAACAGCACTGCAACTATCGTGTTTATTACTTAGCATAGATACTCTGCATGTGTTAAAACCCTCCAAAGACAATATGTGTGTTGACTCAAATTGAAACTCATGCAACATGCTCTTAACCCCAACTGCCAAGATTGTGGATGAGCTTGCAGGGCGGCTACAGTAACTGGGACACTTTGGGATCTGTCACAGTGTTAAAGCCTCCCAGATTAGCCTTTTGTGACCAGAGACTTTCGGTTAATCTGACAGAGCAAACACATACTGGACCATGAGTGAGGGACCTGCACAGCGAGAGCCTACTAGAAGTGTTCTCTCCTTAGTGACACAACTTAATTTATGTATGATGCCTCAGCACAAAATCAAGGCAATGCAGTGCTGATGGTGCACCAGGTTGATAAGTCAGCAACATAATGTTGTTGATAGTGCAGCGTGGCTAAAGTTTGATCGATTGTGAAAACCTTTACTGGAGTACATGGACATTTTCTCCCATACCATATTCTGTTTGACAATCTGCTGCTTTAAGGCGGCAGAATCATTTTTCATTTTCTAACTTTAAATTAGAGCATGTCCGTGGTGCTAAACAGCTTCTTTGCCTCTCGGGCCAATCATCATTTCTGTCACTTTTTATAGTTTATAAGTGGTTCCGAAACCTAAGTGTCTTTGGGCGGTGTCTGCCATTTCATTTCCACTACCCTCAGAAAATCCTCCAGCATCATTAATCATTGTGTACATGTAAAGTTCAGCTTCTGAAAATGCCAATTGATATTTTGCAGTGGCTTATTCCACTTAAAGAAAATATCTAGTTTGGAGTGCAAGAGGGAGAAATGAAATGTCCAAAATGGCAAGAGAATGTCAGAATTCCTATTAAGATGAAAGAATGAACGTCTCATCTCTGTCTGGGGAGGATGTTGTTTATTCAGAGTCGCCTGGCGGTGACAGACTAAGTGCCAGATTTCATACATACTGTACTGTGTGATTAAATATTGATGTAGAATCCTGACAGGGCCCATTTCTGTGTCAGTTCTGAGGTCAATAGCTTAAAATTACACCGTTGAGAGTCTCATTTTATGTTGCAACTTTTCTTCTGTTTTCGCTATCCATTGTTGTGAAGAAAGATGGATTATATCAAACAAAAAGGCTTAAGTGTAAACCATGTTTCTTCCTATTTCAAGTCTACAAGGAAGAGCCAATGTAATCTCTTTTGAAAATGAGGAAGGTGTTTTATCATGTTAGGCTTAAATCAGATGAATGGGTAATATTAGCTATAAAAGCACAGAAACACCTCTTTGCACCACACACACACAGAAATAGAAACATACATGGACCATTGAAGGAAAATAACAAAACCAACACAAATAATGGATGTTAATTGCAGTATAAAAAAGGTGTTCTCAATAACAAACAAATTAACTATAGGAGGACTGTATAATAGTTTTTCTCGAATATGTAGATTGTTAGAAGGTCAGGAGGTGTGGCCACACTAGATAAACAGCAAGATTTTTACCTAAAAAACTGAAAAAAATGCAGAAATCTTCCCTTGGTGGGAGAAAATTCATTGTGAGATTCATGGCTAACACATCAGCGCTGCTATAAAAGTTACTTTGAAGGTCATTTTGATGCAGATGTGGAAAAAACAATAGAAAAAAGACACTGGAGGAGTAACAATTAATTGGTTAAAAGACTCAATATTGCACCCACCTACAGGCCAAGGACACAGTCCACACAAGCAACATTGGTAAGGGACACAATGCAAGGGCCGTTTCTTGCATTCAAGAGAAGCAGAACCTCTGGTCCAAATGTTGAAAGGGGATGCTAATGCAAGTTGCAGAGTTCATCTCTTTAAAGAAATATCAATTTAAACAATCAAAAAACAACATGGATGGCAGGAATGTTTCATGTTCATCATGTATTCTTTTTTCAGGTTAACAATTTATTGTTCCGCTTACTCATTATAAAAAAGTTAATCTTGTAGGGCTTTACAGTTAATATGCACTGGTTACTGTGTGTGTAGCTGACTACTGTAGGTGGTAAGTTATGTGACCATGCTAACAGTTACAACTTACATAAGATCGGACAGACAGATGGTTTACACAATTCCTAACACATGAGCTTGGGTTTATTTATTGGAAAATCTAAATCGATGATTGAAATACCAGCATTAGCTTCCTAGCTAGTAATGATGATACTTACTAAGGAACTTGTGTCTGACTTAATTACAACTGTCCCTTTTGGATTTTGCCAGCAGTAACTTCCTAGCTAGCTAAATGGACACTAATGGCTAAGAAATGTACATCACAAACTCCACGTATTGCGTGTACTACAGCGAAAGCCAAAGTGTCAAAAGACCTGGTGTGTTTGGTCCCTGCTAAGGAAAGATTGAGCAATCACTGTTTGTTGAAGGGCTTTAGCGAGCAAAACATAAAATGAGTATATTGAACCTAGTTGTTAAGTTTCTATGCTGCTAACTTGCATTAGCATAAACTTGTCTTGTGTTAACTTTATATCAAGCTTTAATCCACTTACCCCAGGGAGGGAGGATGGCATGCACTTGTTATGAGGGAGGGTATGTTGAAGAGGTTAAGGGATGGGAGTTGGGAAGACAAGCACACACCTTCAGTGTGGGACACAGGCAAAGAGATCTCCATGCAAGCAGCAGACTGGGCCTTGCGGAAGGGCGGTCGGCCAGGGCCTCTGCGGGTAAGCCGTGGCCCCTCGGAACCCATCGGGACACGAGGCTTCCCTGCCGATGGCTGGGAGGTGGGGCTAGTGCAATGTCCATTGACATGATCTGTAACAACGGCAAAGCATTAGCAAACAATGCAAGGAGGGAAAGAAAACATTCAAAAATATTCCTATCCACTGCCGCAATATCCATCTCCATCTGTCCTTACAAGTCTTCAAATAAGGGGAGAGATTTTTTTACTTATTCATAATGCAGCTTTCAATGACACGTACGGATCGCTCTCACCCTATTTGGAGTTCGGCTATCTTTTAAAAAATGCCAACTTAATATCTAATCTTTTCCGTATTATACTACTTGACCTATGAAGATGGATATTTTTGCAGTGTAAGAAGAGCAAGCTGATGTTAGGAATTAGATTGTTATTAAGAAATATGCAGGTGACAGAGAAAGGTAAAGCGAGTGAGTGAAACAGGGCTGGAGAGTGGTCTGAAGTAAGTATGAGTAGGGAAGAGAAAGAGATGCTGGGGCAACAGTAAAGGGAGCAAAATGCAAAGGCAAATCGTGAATGCAGTTTCATCTGTTCAGTGCCGGGAGCGAAAATCAATCAAAAACAGGCTTGTTTCATCTCCACTTCGCGTCTTCTTTGATTATTTTGTATTGTTGTTCATTTTCAAGAAACTATTTATTTTTAAGAATGATAGCTGTACAACATTCGTATTACCACATGTTGATTCATGGCAAAAGGCTACAAGTATAGTTCAAGTAATAGAGCAAGAAAACAAAAATAATCTAATGTCCGCTTCTTTAAAAAAAGAAATTCAAATTAGCACACCAGTTAACTGGTCTGGCCACACAATCAGCCACAGATGGTGGTGACAGGAAACACTTGTTACTTTCTGGAATTGTATCCTTGCATGGCCTCCCCTCGGGGAGTGAGTTTGTTGGCGGCTTTGTTCTTAATGTACAGTGTGTGTGGGCACAATAATTAGTTTAGAGCCAAACCTTATTAACGAGACAAGGGAAAGAAAGGCAGGATTGGGAGCACTCTGCGGTTCTTTGTTGTCCGCAGTTTGGACAAAAGCGCTGCCAAAACAGCCGTAATTAAAACCTAATGATACCTACTGCCTCAGTACTCTTCTCACTTGTCTTCAGAGACGAGTAAATAAAACAGTGCCCTTTTCTTTAATGGCATTCTTGTGGCAGAAAACCAAATTGAAAACAGTTTAGCGTTGACAGGCCCATCTGATGAAACCCTTCCTCACATAAATGTTCTTTTATTAAAACTCATGAAGCAAAAGGATAATTAGCATTATGATAATTAGTAGAAACAAGGATTAATACTCTCTTGTCGATGTCTGCCCAGTGTTTGGCACAGATCATACGTCTGTCACATCAAATATGTCTCCTGTTCAGCCAGTTGATGCACAAATTATTACATTTCAAAGTGTAGATGAAAAACTCCGGGGTGTCTCCCAGTACGCGTGCAACACTCGCCCAGTCTCACAGCAGGACAAGGTGAGGCAATGCAGGGATTGAACACTACAGAACAGACCAATACAGGCGCTATGTATCTGTCTTAATGTTTTGTAACTGTGAATTTCAATGAGGCAGGCAGCACATTATTCATTCGCCTCAAAATGTTCTGCAGGAAACTGGTAACACAAAGAATGTACACACTCCCCAACAAACAGTTTACTGCACTTATCCATCAGAGTGCACACACTATTGCGCATATACACAGACACACACACTTCAGAGTCATACTCTCTGTAACACCCTGTTCTGACAACAAAGATCATTTGCATAACCCAAAGCTTTCCATATTGCTTTCATTTTTTCCACAAATATACATTTTAGTGCGGAACAGGTTAATCTTCTCAAAATTGGATTTAGAAGTTTAGTTAATGTTCTCATTGTCAACATTGCCTGAACTAGCTATAACAAGTTTCAAAAAGAAAAGCATTTGGTGTACCTGTCAGGTAAAAGAAAGTCATTAAATGAGGTAAGTCACAGGAATAATTAGGCACTGGCACATTGCGTGTTAGAGAAGCAGAAGTTGGAATAGGGGGAAGCATGTGTGAAGCAGCGGTCTGCAGAAGCAGAGCGAAGGAACCTGAGATCAAGATGTGTCAGCAGATGAGATGTATGGGAGGAGACCCTCAGTTTCTGGAATGCAGATGATCCAGTCAAAAGACGGTTTAAGAGATAAATGATCCAGTAACAATGACAAAGGAAGCGAGTGATCCAACCACTGTAGAGCAAGGCTGTCAATGAAGGAAAGGTTGTGTAAAATCAGAAGATGGTCCAATCATGATAAAGCCATAGAAAACCTCAAATTTAAATATGGGCATGATTTACAAATCACCTTTATAAACACTTGCAAAATGTAGAGAAAGGAATACAGAAGGTTTAAATCAAATCAAAATACATTAAAGGGCAAAATGGACAAACACTTCAGTCCAACAGTCTCATGGGCTGGTAGAACAGGAGAAGAAGTGACAAGTAAACTGAAGGGAGAAAGTTTGAGTGAGAATAAAAACCACTAAAGCAACATAAAAGCCTTGAAAACATGACAAAAGCAGAAACTAAATGACTCAAAGGAAATTAAGTGAAAACTGCTGGCTTTCGCCTACCGTACCAAGATCAGTCTTAAGATCTGTCGGCAGACTTAACTTTCTGCCGGGTCCCTTTACTGAAACAAAAGAATAGGAAACAAAGCACCAGTTAATCCCTTCAAATAAAAAATAAAAAATGATAAAAAATAAAGTAGGAGTAATCTAAGTAAAACAATGACAAACCAAGGTGCAAAAAATAAATAAAAAACCTCAAACAAAACAAAATGGAAATCACTCAAATGAACTAAGAAACAGAACATGCAAATTGTTTTAGTTGAACACGGCAGGCATGTTTACAAAACACATGCTCCGTTCTTGTCCCAGGCCAGTATTCCCAGCTATCTCTACAATACCTATAGTGGGTCAACTTAACTGACCTAGATATCAACATTCTGAGAATGTATTTCTTAAAACTAAACGGTAATGGTTTTGTTGGACTGCAGCAAGGCAAGAAAAATATATTAGATGTAATTGCTTATTAATAGCATACATCAACAATCTGAATGACTCTGCTAAAGGTCTTTCCTGAAAAAATAAACAGGGTGACACCACAGGGTGTCAATACAAAATCACAGTCAGACAGTGAGGATAACAAAATAACTTTTTGAAAACACATTTTGCAAGCATTTTGCAGTAAGTAAAAAACTGCAAAGGTCGAACTTGAGATGTTATGGTTCGGTTTCCCCCTCAAAAAGAAGGCAATATTTCATTGTTTCTTTGTGTTGAATGATTAACTTGACATGTGGGAGACAAGGGATGGTGTTTACATGACTTCTGATACAATTCATGACACCAAGGAAAACAGCATGATCATGAATTTGCATTATTTATTATTCTGACCACTTAAGAATCAAGGAATCAATGAGGATTCCTAAAAAAAAAAAAACCGTTGACTCAGGGTTTCAATCCTTTCTCCATACAGTACCATAAAAAGAAGTACAGCAGAATACATTGGGCCTACTGGATGGAAATACTAGTATCTTTTTTATCTACTGTAATTCCATTGATAGTTTATTTTCTCTGAAGGACCATGTTGTAGGATGCTCATTTTCAAAGGCAATTTTGAGGAACAATGCATATCCTTTATTGAGGAAAATGCGGTGTTATGGTGCTCTAACTTAATTTCTCAATCAATGAATTCCTGTTTCCATTTTTTCCCGGAGTAAGTATAGCCATTCCAATTAGTGTTGCTAATGAGATAATAGATGAGCTCTGTGCGTGTGTGTTTTCATAATAATCTGCGGTGGCCAGATGCTGCCTCCCTCAACCACATGAAACGTGCAGTGTTAGGGATACAGTAACAGAAAAAAATAAACTCATCATAAACCTGTTACACACAGATGTTCCTCTGTTTAATAGCTCAGTGGCTGCATTAATGCTTCATAAATGGGTGGTCTATTGTGAATATGAACAATAACTAACCAAACAATTATAGCCGTTGTTTTTGCAGCTGCTGTCCCGCCTTATACGACATGCTCACTAAACATACAGCCTAACTTTGGCCGGTTGAGCAACATTACAATAATGTACCTAAATATGGCAACATTTTCTACTTAAATAATATTTTCTATAATTCATGTGCTTTATTTCATGGTTGGAGTACCTTTAACTCCATATGGGTATCTTGTTAGTATCTTATGTGACAATATAAAACACTTTACACAACACTTTATGTTAGACTAACCCCATGTGTGAACTTAGCAGTGTGTCCAATAAACAAATCTGTGATTAGTCACATATCACTCGTAACCACGTATTAAGCAGTGTGTTTCACCTTCAAAAGTGCTTTTATGATCCCACAGATGTCTACTGTGTTTCTACAATCGATGCCAGTGAGATCAAGGCCTTTGAAAATAAAACCCACTGTTAGATTAAGGGGTTAACAAGATTAAGAATCTAGATCCATGCTAGCAGCTCTGTGAGGCGGTGCTTTCAGTTAAATGTTAATGTCAGCATACTAACATGTTAATCATGGTGACGATACAACCGTGCTGATGTGTAGCAGGTATGACGTTTCATAATCTAAGGTGAGCTTTTTAGCGTTTGACCATTTTCCATCCCAAAGATGTCAAGATATTTAAATAAAAAACATCACATTTTAAACTCATGCTGTTGCTAGTTGAAACATCAGGGGAACACCAAGGTCAGTAGGGTTCATCCTATAGGGATCATGAATGTTTTGACATCACTGTAAATCACAGTCTGTAAATCATGGCAATCCATCCTATAATTTTGATATCAGTCTGGACCAAAATGATGAACCCGACGAATCAACTTATAGACACTTTGCTATTTGTATAGGGGAGTTTATGAGACTGAATCATAGTAATGCACAAAGTGCTAAGGTCATATATGGGGGTAATGTTGGACACCAACACTGATAAACGTACAAAGCAAGTTGCAGTCATATTAAAAGGCACTGCTGCCAGCCAAATATTGGATACCATGCAGTTAGTTAGACGAGACAGCGATGAATGTTAGCCAAGCTGATAATGAGATGGGTTTATCGACACACAGTAAGAGAGACACAATAAGAGAGACTCTGACATGTAAAGTAGCATGTTGCTTTTTACGGTAAAGAAATGTAGTTCCAGTGGAGGCACAATGATTGACGTCACAGAGAATGAATCACAAGGGTCCGAGACAATTGAGGAGGAGAGGTACCCGGCTGGAATACAACCCCTCACCCTTCCCAAGCCCGTCTGCCTTGCAGTGTATTGGCCAATGATGATTGAAGTTCAAAGCCAGCATCTGGCACGTATACAACAAACAACACAATGTCAAACCCCCTGCAGCCTGAGCAGAGAGATAATGCAACACCAGCAGTCTCACAAACGCATTGAACATTTTGACAAGGCAGCGACAGATAGTCTACTCCTAAAAACACACACTTTCTGTCAGCTTGTTTACACTGCAAGCAACTCTGTCATTGTATTGTGAACGTTTCAGGGTTAGAATGTGTTTCGTTGTATTTGAACATATTCATAGTGACTTTTTGAAAGCTATGTTGCTATTTGTGGGATTTTCCCAGGCGTTTTTCCCAAATAGTTATTTGTAAGCCCAAACTGCTAACTGCTAACTATCTAGCTAGCAAACATAGGGGTTACCAGTGAAGCCTCAAGAACTTGCACATTTTAATGTAGGATACATCCAACACCTAGCTATGGATTTCTGTTATTCATGAGGTGTTGGTCAACAAGTAAGCGTTATTTGCCCTTGACATAAACTTAATATGATAGTTTTTTGGTTTGGTTGTGTAAGGTATGAATGTGCCTCTGATTGTGTTGCTCACAGTGTGGAAGCAGAGTTAGCATGCAAGGTGCAACATTGAACCAACCACCTGCCAAAAAAACAAACCAATACTCCCATCGCCCCTCCCTTGCTGCATCAAAACACAAGCAGATGTTCATGAAGAGGCTGAGATCCGTGACACATCCCTCCTCTTACCATTGTCCAGCAAGTAAAAGACTGGACTGCAGTGGCTGGCTCTCAGACTGGCCACAGGCTCGGGCAGGACGCGTGGGTCATTGTGAAGGGAGGTTGGGTAATGAACTGGAATAGGAGATCCAACAGAACAGACACAGACTTTTCAGGGCAACAGGGGAGAGACATACACAATGGGTGAACTGGGGAGAAGAGAGACTTGCAGGTAACAGGAAGGAAAACAGGTTATGAAAAGTATTAGTTGGAAACCCACTATTCCGACAGCAATTATACTAGAACCTTGTAAAAAGATAATCTGTCACTATCACAAATCACACCAATACTACTACTGCTACTAGCTGACTACACAGGAACACCACTACTCTTAACATCACCACAATTACTAGTCAAGTATGTCTCTACCAAATCCATAGAGGCAGTCAGTCATCCAGGTTTATTACACACATGTCACTGTGACCCGCCTTGATATCTCAAGGCAATTTATTTTTCACTCCCAAATATACACAACCTCACCTAAGTTCCCGACTTTCTTTTTAACATTTCAATACATCTATTTCAAACAGACAACATATAATATATCATTTCCATGTCGCTGTGAAGTACCTGATTATTGTTAAATATAAATGTTGGTTGCAAATGTAAACTCAATCAAGTTTCACAAAAAATATGGCCCATAAGTTACCAATGTCAAATGACGTGCAAAAAGAGGCACGTGTAATAAACACATACTTAACACATTTATTGTAAACAGTACTTGTCCATTTAATTAATTTTATTAGCAAAAGTAGCAACACAATTCATGGGTTTTTACTATGTAATATAAATGGTAGTGCACCAGCAGGGCTTAGTTGAATAAGCAGACCTATTTTAAGTTTTCTGAAGCCACCTTGAGATGCATGGTGACACCAGTTCAACACACTGTGAAGTTTCACCTCTTCCCTTTCTCCCCTGACAAGCCCACCTCTAAAAATATCCTGCCAGGTCAGGCAGTGCTCACTGGCATCCGAGCTTGTTAGTCCATCTTACAAACAGGGCCTGGTCAAGTAAGCATTGCTACAGCCACCTGTGGCATAAAGCTCCCTGTGGAAATGTAACACATGACCCAAAACCCAAAACAACAGTCTTCAGGACATAAAACGGAAGACAATGGGTAGGATGTGAAGGGAGACAGCTTTCAGACAGGAGAAGGGCCAATTACTGGGCCTAATGACAAAGGGAAGATAGGAAAAGGGTCGGGTAAAACAGAGGGAACGATGTGCGGAGAGAGAGTCTGCTGCAGTTATTGACACATGGGGTGAATCGGCACGATAGCTGGTTTCCTTAATAAGCTGTCCACAGCCTGTATAGGGCTAAGAACAGACACAATGCACATGGTGTGCCAGGGACAGTGAGACAGCCTCTAATGGCCATAGAGAAAGGTGGAAGTTAATATTCAGAAGGAAGAAATAAAATGTTCGCCTATTCAGCAGAGCAAAGCTGCGTTTCCTCATTTCCAAACTTAACTTCTTTCATTTTAAATCCAAATGATTGGAATACACGCCATTTATTTAAAAATATTCAATTTAGGTCACACTGCTATTAACAACTCCTAACATTTCCATCTTTATTGAAACTGCACTCAGATCAATTGCTCCATAGCTGCTGCCTTTTTGTCCACTCTCCGGCAAAGAGACTCAGACACTTGATCATGCTGTGTCTTTGCTTTTTTCCATCCCCACAAGATTCTCTAATTAGCAAATGAAAGGCTTTTGAAGGGACAGGATGACCATGACCTAGTCCACATCACAATACCGAAAAACTCCCGGCAAGGATAGCAAAGAACATCTTGTCCTGGCTTTATTATTCTGTTCGTATGCTCTCCTTATGAAGCCTACTGGCAAAGCTGGAGAGCACAAAGGAACAGACAAAAAGGACAGATTTTCAAAAGACAAGCTCAACAGGTGATAAAACCAATTCTGTATCATGGACAGAACCTGCAAGACATTTAACAAAATCATTTGTAGTGAACTAGCATTCATACCGTATGTCTTTAGAAGTTACGTTTTTCAAGTCAGGTCCAGGTTATTTGCATAGCCTGTAATTACTGCTCGTACAATTGTCCCAAAGCCATTCATAAATGCCCACTTAGCACAGTCCATCCCGAAGTGGCTACATGTTTTGAAAAAGCTACAGAAGAAGTAATACAGAAGGCTGGTTTCACGCAGCACCACTAGATCCAATGAATCCATTACACTAAACAAGGGTTAGTGCAATGAACTTTGCATATCTAGGTCTATTTATCCATCAATGTTCAGCTGTTTGTTAGGATGTGATGGCATACAGCTAACAAAACAACTTAGCCGTCCTCCGTTCCAGCCACATCTCATAGGTCCTTCTGGGTTAACACAATATATTATCCCTCTATTGTGTTCAAGGTCAGCCCAATGGTCATCTCCCGGTTGGTCCTCCACAGCGAGGCTTCTAGGAGTCATCACAGTTATCGTTCCTTCCAAGATCCTTCTGGATGCCAAAGATGCCTGGCTCTCAAGTAAAGCTCAAACAAGAAATGCTTATTATTGGGCAGAAGGGATTCTACCTGTGACTCTAGGCGGATTTCCCTTGGACATTGTCTAAGGTGAATATGAGTAATTCAAAGGCTTTGACCTATGAGGCCAACATGGGCACAGTCGGACAAAGCAACATGGAGCAAAGTGAGCTCATTACCTCTAAGAACTGAGGCATTGCCAGATGGAAAGTGGGAAACAGCCGCGCCCTTGGTGGCCTGAATCCTGTCACATTATGTTTTTCCTGAAGCATATGAAGTGCCTTGGTGCTGGCACAAATCCCCAAAGCTTTTATTCTCTGTAAAACACATCAGACTAATTGAATACTTGCAAACAGTGGCACTTCACTCAGGTCCTAGCATTCCCACACTACTGGGAATAAATGCAGAGATTTCTAACTGGCTAATGATGTGTTACTACACAAAGATCACATCCACAGCTTGTTAATGAAAAAATACAGTTTACCTGTACCTCTGCTTGGTTCAAATAAATACTATTTCGAGTGCTTTAACAATCTCCACTTAACCCCTTGGATCCCATTTTCCCAGATCTTGTTTCAAATGTCTGTTATTCTGTTGGCTTCATGCTATTCGTGGAAGTTCAAAAGGATACTGTACATTTGTTCTTTCTTTCCTCGCAAAGCACACTTTTGCCATAAAGGCAAACATTAGAAAGTGATGTCATAGAGTATGACAGCTGATATTGAAAGATTACTGGAATAAATGTTGCTTGTTTTTTTGTAGAAGAATACCAGTACGTGGTAGTCTTTTCATAACGTTTAGAAAAAAATTGTTGAACTCAAGAAATTATTCAACTTTATTTTAAATGGAATAGACTTTTAAAATAAATCAACTAGTATCATATAATAGCTTTTACATTTAGTGGGTTCGGTAAAGCCTAACTAAGCACTCTGAGCCCCGAGGACACAGCAGGATTGCTTGGCAGTGTCTCAAGCACAGATTTACATACTTACACACTCTCTCATTTGACCTTTAAGTCTTGAATTTGCTGAGATAAAATGATTTCCCACCACAGATACAAAAGCGGCGGCAGGGAAATGTTCTAACTTCTCTCTCCCTCCATTACACATCTGTTTCCTTTTTTTTTGCAAGCTTTCGACTGCCCTGTATAAATGATGTCATAGTTTAAACGTCATTCATAGTGTCCAAATGTTACTCCGTACCAACAAATGATCTTCTAATCTATGACAGCTAGCCAATGCAGCTTATCTCTTGCACTCAACTTCAAACCTCCATCTATCAAACTGTTTCTGTGATCCTGAAACCCAAAAAAGGTGACAAGATTATGAATAAAGCTTTTACCGCAAATATTAAGGACATTTATATATAAGCCTCATCATTTCCCTTTAAACAGGCAAGTCCATTTCCTCATCCTATAACATTTAATACAAGTCAAGAGCTGCACACTACACACTAACATGCCAGAACATATTTAACTGCAAGCAGTGTACAGGAGGTTTTTATAATATATTATGGATGATACAAATAAATAATTTAACCAGCAGCGAGAAGTTTTCTGACCTCAGATATTTTAAGACTTTATTCTGTAAGATATAGCCGGTTAGTATCACATGTTTTCAGCTGCAGGTCATCACCACTGCTGCCAGCTGATGTATGGGCAATGTTTTAAGGTAAACATGTTATTGGGCCTGCTCATTTGAGAAGGTCCTCAGTTTCGCTTTCTATATATTTGACTCTCTATGTCTGTAAATACAATCTCCTGGCTACTTTCTTCTATTCCTTCACAACAGTGTCAGGACAGAGTCTAAGAGTATAAGAAGAGTTGGGAAATCAACAACGTCAACAAAAGGATAAAGAGGAAGAGCATATGATACGTCAACTCTTTTCACTGGCTTACCTTTGTGAAATAATACAATCAGCTATGACCAAATGCTTCAGAAAGAGCACATGGAGCTGCTGTGATGACATCGAGCTGCTGTGACGCAAGTCAAATTTCAGACTTGATCTGACAAATAAATTAATATCGTATCGTATCGTACAATATAAAGAGCACTCAAATTGTCTGACCACCAACTTCTTTTCAAAGACAACTCTCATATATTTTCAGCACGCCCTGCACTTCTTTAAAATATTGACTGAAATAGAATAGTGCAGTGTTGACATCTTTTTGTAAACAACCAAAAGTAAGAATCACAAAAGGCTTTCTTTGCCAAAAGTGGAAAGGATTTTTCCATTGGACTTTGGAATACTGCACACATTTATTATACCGGTACTTACAACTTTTGCAATACAATTGATATAAGTAAATAGCTAACTGTTACCACCTGTCATTTTTTTTAAGACTCTTAATAGCTTCAGACAACCAATAATTGGGTGTTTTCGAGCAAATTTAATGACACATGAAAATCTCAGATTTGTGTGTCAACCATAAACTTTATCTAACCAAAAATCCATTGAAAAAACAATTGACTTCAAGCCTCGCTAACCGCACAAGCTTAAATGCTATCTCATTTATGGATTTAGGACTCATTCCTGAACCACTCTATATGTCCACACTCAAACCTCAAACACTGAGTTGCAATTTGCATCAGCTGCCATTCAGATCAGGTGAAGATGCTCTGGTGAAGGGTGAAGTGTCCACAGGCTGCATCCTGGAGGTATATCTCGCACTCAAAGACAAAGGCATCCCAGCAAAGCTTCACAGTGCCAATCACAGAACATATTTCCATATAGGGAGGGTGCTCTCTGCTGTGTGTGTGTGTGTGTCTGCAGGTTACCTGAGGTGGGCGACTTGCTTCTCTCCATGTCAATGGACTGCTGGTTGTCAGAGAGTTCCGTAAGGCCTGTCGCAGCCAATGGCAGCCAGGAGGAAGAAAGGTAGAATGCACAAAGACTGTCAGATCACTTTGACCTCGTCACTCAGATGGGATTTCAAAGAAGTTGGTTGTCAGCCACGCAGAACCAAAAAAATCGAATTCAGTTCTTCAATGTTCTACAATCAACTAGTTCTGAATGAGCATTTGTGAAAGTGTAATTTAATGGGGATTTCATATCTCTCTTAATATGTGACGTTTGTTATTTACCCTTCCACTGTTAATATTTCTAAGGATTCTTTTTCCGGGAGCAGAGTGGCTGAAACCTGATGAAACCTGCACTACAATCTGTTCCATCTACAGTAACTTTTATTTAAAATTCCCCACTAGATTCCATAACAAATTTCACCATGACACTAATTAGGGATGTACAGTGTGTAGTGCAAATATCATGATAAAAAGTCATATACAATCAAAATACACAACAGAACAAACACACATTTGATCAAAACTGATCACATGCAGCAAGCACAGGCAGGAGGAGAAGTCATACCTACTTCCACTTTAAATCCACCACAAATGCGCAAATATCTAATTATTTTCCCTTTCTGTCTGACGACCAAAGCCTGGTGTTTAAGCAACGTTCATTAGTGCTTCATTAACAGCCTCACTGATTCGTCACAGTTCAAAAATGTTTGATTCGTTTAATTATTTCTCTGCAGCAAGTTTCCAGCAAAACCTCCTAATGAACGTTTCCTTTAATCATTTACACTGGCTTTGAAGACCTTGAAAACATTATTTTAGTATAAAACTAAGATTTCCTCTGTAATCATCAACCAGAAGCAGACATGTTGGTTTGCCTAGGCCTAGTGGGTCACGAGGAAGGCTTTATTCCCCCCATTTTGCTTCAGTTAAAATATACATCACATGGATCATATACTATTTATAACTGCCCTTACTTAAAAGACTTGAGGGAGTGGCTGTGCAAAGGACACACCATTGGACATGACTGGAATAGGGCAGTTCTGTTTTATAAGGCCAAATGAAGATAGGAAACAAGCACTTAGTTCCAATCATATCTTTAGTTTGTCCCTTGGCTTTCAGTCCACATCATACCTTCTTGGCCATCTCCATGTTGTTCAAGTATGTTCCCCACAACACTGACCCAACCCCACCTCCCCCCGCACACAAACACAGAGTCCCCCAGCCTTTAGTAAGGCCCGACTTACTCTGATAGGATGTACGGAACCTTTTCTTTGAATCTGAATAAAAGTTAGACAGGCCACGCATGCTAAAGTCTGTCAGGCAGGCCCACATGCCCACAGCAGTAGCAGCCACAGAGTCCCCGAAAGGGAGGGGGAGGAGAGGGAAGGAATGAGTAGTGGATGGGATGGTGGGCAGGAATAATGAGTGAAGGGTGAGTGGAGGAGGACAAGAAGGTGGGAAAGAGAAAAACAGGTGATAAGGTTGGAAGGAAGAAAAGTAGAGGAGGAGGAAACAAGGGTGAAGAGTAAGGAAGAATGTGAGGGGAAGGTGAGGGAGGATTGATGAATGCAGTTTAGACATTTTAGGACCGAGGCAAGGGAGGGGAGGAAAAGGGAAGGGAGGGGGAGAGAGAAGAACACACAGGCTTAGAGTGGAGAGAGCAAGCAGCAACCAAGTTAGTGTCAGGGGGGGGGGCAGACAGGAAATACCCGCTACAGCTGATGTGATCGGTCATTTGCACAAGAGGTAGCTACTGTGCTAGCGGGGAACATAACATTACCTTTAAACAGCATTAAAATAAATCTCTTGTTGCATCAAATCATTGCTTTACATGACATGTTGTTTGTATACTTTTTAACATAAGCCTCGAGTCCTAACAAGGTATCAATAGTTCATTAGAGAATAAGAAACACACCTATAATTATCAATATCATTTAATGAGATGAATAGACTAAATTTGATTGACATATATATATATACATACAAATATGTGTGGCAACAACAGCTAGAAATGTTGTGGAAAGGACAGCAAACTATGTTCTAAAAGTTGGTAAAAAGTTATAAAAAGTCAAGCTTAAAGACAGATTAGCAAGTGTCCTTTTGGCCTTTTAAGAGTTGTGTCTTTAGTGTTATATCAACTCCAGCAGAGCACAGGCTAGAAATCATAACACCACCACCTGGGGTGGAGAAAAGGGCACGCTCGCCCGTTTCTATTTTCCCTTCGGTCTCCAAATTGATTTTAAAGACCTGACACATGAAGACTTTTACAAAAGATGAAGTTGGGAACAATAAGTGCTGTGGCCGTCAATAAAAAGCACTTATGTAACAGCAAAACGATTTTGAAGGCCATTTCCTATTCTACGTTAATATTCCCCTTCACAAAAACCTGAATACCTGTAAAACTTTCTCAGCTATACTTCTGGGAATTATGTAATACGAGAGCTGTGTACTCTACAGTAAATTGCCTAAAGGGTCTTAGACATCTAAAATATTAAACCACTTGAGCTGCTTAGTTCTCAAATGCAGAGGTTACTGTAGGGTCAGCCAAGATCAGTAGCCTGAATAAGAGCCTTTGGAGACCATCACCAGCTAGGTTTCAGTAGCAGAGAGAAGGGAGGCAGGGGTCAGGACAACAACACCTCTGTGGCTTTAGACTACAGATCTATGCTCAAGCAAGACTAAAAACAGAAAGGACAGAGATAAACAAAGGACAACATGCATAACAATGCCAATGTGGAATGACACGCAGCCTGTTAACATGCACTTCATATCATAGTACAGATTTGTGGCAGGCATAGTGAGGTGGTGTTTTGGTCTTTGTATGTTAATGTGCGAGAAAAAGAGAAAGAAGTAAGGTTTGACTGATACAGGTTTTTGACTGCTGATACAGATACATATCATTGATGTAACTCAGGGGTGCCCATTACATTGATCGCAAAGGTAGTGTGGGTAGATCGCATGGCATTGAAAAAAAAAAATATATATATATAATTTTTTATTTAAAAAAAAAGTTAGCCTATCATCCATCCTTACTATGGCATTTGCAACTTGATTGACGTACAGGTAAGCCAGTCTGAGTTGTATTGTGCCATACAGGTTCATGCAGTTATGAGGGGGCCTCACCTCCTCATCTGAAGCGCAAATGCGGCGCAGTATTATGCGCTTATGCGGCGCAATTAGTGTAAGCGGCGCGCGCCACAGTTTATCCGCCGTTTACTCCACTAGCACCCCCCTCGCGCTCGCGACACAGATTGGGCCTGTAGGTACTGTACATCTTTTGGGCTTGGTCATTTTAAAAGTAGCTCCCAAGCTGAAAAAGTGTGGGCACCCCTGAATAACTTGTCAATGGTCTACATTTTGTACAAATGGCCAATTTGACCTTACTCTGAATCATTTTGTTAAAAACATATCTGATAGAGATTTAAGCCCATTTTCCATTAACACTAAAACACGGAGGACGTTTTAAGATCCTGTATTGAAGGAAAATACTCTGAAGTATGCAGCAGCATCCAAACCTTCACTTAAGTAAAAATACTTTTGTGCTACCACTAAATTCTAAGTATCAAAAGCAAACATACTCTTGGTCTCTGTAACAATGTAATATATTCATATATTTTATAGTATTGACCTTTTGTAGAAGCATTATTCAAATATGTCTATGCAAGAGCAGTACAATTACCTGAATGCAAAATATTACTTGTGTAAATATAAAGTTGTGCGTTGTCTGGAAAGTGCATTCAATGTAAATGAAAAGTATCTAGCCAAATGGCCCCTTTCAGAGTTTTTTTTCAATGCTGAATTTGGTAGTAGTTAAGTCTAACTACCATATATATTGCTGGCCAGTTTACATTTTCAATATATGAAACATTTATTAATTCTACATTCATATTTTTACATCATTTGATAACCTCAACATGTGATCACAATTAGTGAACCTTAGTTACCTTAACTCTTAAAAATAAGAATAATATTGAACAACTGCCATCCTTGTGTGAAGTCCTTTATCTAAGGGAAGCACATGTCTGATCAATTTGAGAGCAGAGGTATTGATTGAATTGGCACGAAATCTAAATAAAGGAAGTATAGATCAGTCTAACCTCAGAAAGATAAGAGATACAGAGGAAGAGACAGTAGGTATAGGAAGAAAAAACAGTAGTAGAGATAGAGGGAGGACAGGAGAATAGATGGTAGTCTGGATGTAGCAACAACATTATCGACACGTTATCGTATGGCTGCCCAGTGAGTTGTATACGTGCATGTGCGTGTGGGCAGTTGTGTGTGTGTGGGTTTGTGTGTGTGTGCTACCTGAGGTGGACTGTCTGTTCCTGCGGGGGGAGCGGGTAAGGCGCTGGTAAGGGTCCGCGCCTCCATACAGATCCAGTGTGGACATACACAACAGGATGGTTTTCTGCAAGTAGTCCACCACTGCTAGGCCATTACAGTTCCCAAACGCCAAGCTGGAGACAAACACAGACATTTTTCATTTATACGGAGAAAGGGTGCGTCATTCAGCTGAGGTGATGTTTTGAATAGTATTTCTCCAGGTTATTCCCATTGACATTAAAGGTGCTACAAGTAACACTATCAAACACTGGCAAATAAACGGTGACATTTTGGTGTAATTACTGTCTACGAAACCCTGTCTTTATCTCGAGCTGCTGTTTTTGAATATTAACACTGGATTTCCCATAAGCCCCATCACCACCTGCTACCACTGGCTGCTGTAGATCCTCTGGTTTAACTGATCAAGGGAAACTCAATGGCAGTCAATGATTCTGTTTGTTTTCACACACTAAAGATGTTCCAGTGGATCAGACGCTGACCAGAATTAGATGATGTTGACAACACATGGCTCTATGGTGGTTTTTCAATCCAGCAATCATAACAAAAAAGCCAAAACAAATTATGCAAATACATAGATGTCACTCAAATGTGCAGCTGAGCCAGTCAATCACTGCTGACCGGTATCAAAGATGCAGATATCTGGTTCACTTTAAATCACTGTAACATGGTCAGATGGTTTAGGAGGCGACAGCCACCACAATGTCTGATAGGCTGTTTGTCATCATGTCTGAACAACAATTTCAATAACACAAACAAGATTTAGAATTTGAATACACATCACTCATGTTACACTCAAAGACCAACAATTGAAAAAGCAGCAGTGGCCAAACCGTACGCGTATCCAGCCTTTCAGTATGTGCCACTTAAACACAGCTTGAGTCTTACTACACAAAATAAAAGACATCACAGGGCAGCGTGACATTCCTTGATAAAAGCTTAAGGCTGAAACAATGCCAATAAAGAAAAAACTCCTGTTACAGGCCATTATCTGTGTTACTGTTACAACTTCACATTATTTAAAGTGGACCTATCATGCTATATTTGAAACATATATTGTAGGGCCATACCTATATAAAACATGTTTGTGAAGTTTTTTTTTCACCCATTGTAGCCATGCCTCATACTGCTCAAACCCCTCATTTGCAGCCCTGTTGGAGAAACGCGGATCTTGGGTCCTTAGCTTGAAAAAAAATAAAGAAGAGGAGGCGGAGCTAATGCCTGATCAGAATTCTACCGGAGAAAAAGTTAAATTCGGTTGTGATAAAACGCCATCCTGTTTAAACCACGTCAAGGATTATTTCTGAAATAGTATGGAGCTCAAATGCTTTTTCTCCTGCAGGTTTATCACAAGGTGAGTTATTTTTTTATTTCCTGCTTTTTTAACACATGTGCTCTACACAGTACAGGTTAGCTCTGAGTGTTAGCGAGGCTTGCTAATGTAAAGAAATACGTCCAAAACACGTCAGGCATTGTTTCTGATAGCAACTTTCTGTGGGTCCGCCGCCGCTATGACGTCACAGCGGATGGAATCTGTATCCGCTCGTTGTACACCCATTTTTAAAAGATTTGGGTACGGAGGAAAAGAGAGAGGGTTTTATTTTCTGACGCTGCGTGAGTTCCCCGACGCACCGGGGACACATATTTATGTATAAAAGACATCACAAAGTGAATTTTGCATGATAGGTCACCTTTAATGTCAGAATGTCAGTCAGTCAGTCAAATGCAAACAGAAGGCTTAACCCAGTGAACATAAGCAATTATTTTTCTTTAAACATTTAAACACAGCTGTCGGTGAATTCTCTTTTCGCACTATGCAGATTTAAAAACAATAACACATCTTAAGGGAAAAAACACAGTTTTAGTTCACTTTATGATATCAAGGTGACAAGAGGAGACAGCCTTGTGCCTTTAGGTACCTGTAAACATATTCATATAGCAGGGATGTAATGCCTTTTAAAATATTCTTGAAGAGCCTTTGGGTAATATCTTTTTTGTTGCTGTTCACCAATTTGTTGTAGTTTAATACTTCCTTTGCGTGTTAACGACACATATTGCATTCCGCTTGCACATATATGATCATAATTCATCAATACATTATTTACTTTAATGAAGTGCAAAAAAACTTGTGGGATGAGTGTTTTAGGTATGTGGGTTCAGGAGGAAACAGGGTATATGCATGAATCCTGAAGTCAAATGTAATTCCTTTTAAGACCCTTTCCATACATTTAAGTTTAACTCATCGCCACTTCGAGTTTTAACCGGTTACATTGGCGACACACTTTACCTCACATTTACTATATACAGTATTGATTGTCCCTCCTCCTTATCTTCCAACCATTTGGACGCATACTTGCATTTCCCCATAACGATGTTGTTTAACAACCGGCGTAAACAGAGCTTTGTGCGCTAATCAAGCAGTCAGCGTGCGATGTCCTATTAAGATGACGTCAAACCCAACGGGATGCCATAAATAAACTACACAGAATCACACTACACACCTATGCAATGATTACATTCAGGCAGACTGTAGAATACATCCTCTTTGGACAATTTATATACTTATGGAAAACAAGCTACAACATGTAATACCTTGGAAAATGCCGTTTAATACTTTTTAATACTTTTTGATATCCTTAATTTTCGCTAAATTGATTTATCAACTTTTAATACTTTTTAAGACCCCGCGGACACCCTGAGAAAAAACAAAATAAATGAAACAAAAAAACAAATCAATTCCCACAATCTATTCAAGCTGTGAGTAGCTTTAGAGGACAGAGGAAAATACTGCCCTTCCTTGAACCATATAGATCTTTTTTGAAAGAGCTGTGATTTTAATGGTTTCTGCCAACGGAACTTCCTTTGACAGCAAACATATAAAAGCACTCTAAGTTCAGAAGGTCAATCAACTCAGACACGCATCACTTTTGAATTATGAAGGCTGAAATATTTATACAAATGTAATGTGATACAAATATTCCTGGAGTAAACACCAGGACAGAGACAGAAATGATGAGGTGTGGTTGGGCACAATCTCAGGGGTGCAATGTACCATTTTATAATAACTTTGGCAAATTCTGACAGCAGTGATAAAAGCTCAATGCGAGTAATCTCTGTGATCTAATAACTGCACTAGACCGTACCCATATCCCAATTTCCAGAAGCCTTTAAGCCCTCACTCTTTATAAACACTCACCTATATTCATGAATACATAATAAACACAAACATAACCAGTTGGTGTTATCTGCAGGTGTGTACTGCTCTTTCTACAGGGAACAATACGCACACTTTCATATGACAGATTAGCCTTTTCAACCTTGCATCACCATGTACCCTGTCGCTACTGCTCCTGAAAGCTGCTATTCACTGGCCAACACGCTGACCTTCACATGCTTTATTTAGTGTAACACCTGAGGCCACAGAAAAAAAAGTGGGGTTGTTTTGGCTGGCAAAGGTAACATTTGCATGTCATGATACCTCAAACCGACTTTTAAATACCACCCTAAACCTGTGCATGGGGTCTATTACTCCACAAATATAAACTGAGAGATAGGCCAATGTAGAAAAAGTTACAGGCAGGCAGATGGATGGAAATACAATACTGTGTGTGTTTGAGAGTCAGTGTATTAGCTGATTTCGGCAGGTTGAACTTTGAACCACTTGCTGCCATCTGAAACCATTCAATGCAATGTTTCTTACAACTTCAATAAAGAAGACAAAGACAATAAAAAAACAAAACATCTTGGTCTCTAAGGTGGAATCCTGGTGACACTTCCTCTATCTGCTTTACTTCATATAGTGCAGCGCGGACAGCACTATAAAGCTGAAGGATGGTGTTAAGTTTAAGCTACTGTCGCAAAATAAAATAAGAAAAGATAGACAAAGCTTTGTCCTTATATATATCTTTATATCATGACTAGTTATAACAGGGATTGCCTTCCTGAGTGCGGACGAGCAAAGATATGTAATCAATTATGGACAAATTATGTAAGCAATGCCTTGCCATATTCAAAATGAGATGGATACCTAGATAAACCAGCTGATTTGCATACTATATCTATATGCATGTTCAACTGCCTCTTATAGCACAACTCCTTACTTTCCTCAAACATGCTGCGGCACACCTGTACCATTTTCAGGCGATTTGTAATCTATAAAAGAAATATATTATACAGGGTTTCTTAGAGACTTAATGGAGCTTATAAATGGATACGTGGGCATGGTGTTGGGCAAAGAATTACGATCATTTATAACATGATGCGTTGGATGAAGTCTGATGAGGAATCAGAGTTATCTAGAGACCAGCAGACAGAGAGACTGACATTTATCTGCAGACTTACAGGCCATAGGCAGAGTTGATGTCCAGGCTGGTGATCTGTTGTGGAGGTTCTCCATCGACCCACAGCAGCTGGATGACCAGCTCTGCCTGGTAGCCAGGAGGGACCCTGACCATCCGCTCCTTCACCCTGAAACAGACATAAAGAAGAGTTGAAATACTAATATTCATACAGTAGTCAGTGAGAAAGAGACATGTTTGGTGGAAATATGAAAAATCACTTTTAATGTGTAAATAAATAACTATAAAGATCAAAGAATTCATAAAAAATATATTTGTTTTGTCATTTGTTGCAGAAACTGTGTTGTGTGAGAGGGGATCTCACTTAAGGCAGGGGATGGTGTCTTTGTTCCCCTCAGGGGTCTTGCTGCCGGGGCTGGCTGGGTGATAGTGGTGGGTCTGCGGGGAGTGGGAGCCGGACTCAGAGAAGCACGGGTTGTTTTCATTGTCGGACGGAGAGATGACATCCTCCGACTCACACTGTAGGCGCACCTCCAATGACTGAGGATGATACAACAATAGGGATTATTTACATTAGATCTTCCTTGGAAAGAAAACGGACAAGGCTAAGTTTAAGAGAATTTCAGAGAGGAGTTTCTCATCATTTCCTTTACTCTGCTTCTCCCCCCTCTCACCGTAATCTGAGTGTTGGCATCATATTTGCTGAAGCGATACAGAATGATGTGAGCTGATATGCCGACCACACAGAGGATACGACTCTGGGGGCACCAGCTGACCATCTGGACAGCGAAGGGGTCTTCCTCCATCAAGTCAGCTGCCCTGCCTTCTACTGGCTTTGGCTTCTCAAAGGCTTTGGAGGTCTTCAGCTTGTACAACATCTGTAGTGTGACTGTAAGACAACATACCAAAAAAGGCTGTAAACATGTTTCCATTAAATGCACTGAAGACTTGCTCTGTCATTGGTTTTGCAGGGGAGTTAAAGGATCTGACTTGAGTCATTTATTGATTTATTTGATCATAAATATATGTTAAGTAGTAGAAACAAAGATGGAACAAAGAAGAAAATAAAGAAGATATTAGAAAATGAATGACAAAACATTAGATGATGGTACAAAAACACAACCTTATTTTGACTTGGAAACACATTGAGGTTCAGACCCAATGTGCAATATAGCACAGAGTACACATACAAATAAAATTGTTTAATGTGTCCGTCTTATTATCATGGAAGGTTATCATTCTTAATAACTAGCATGGCGAGATTCACAGATAACAGCTGTCAAATGTCTTTGCAAAGATTTTGAAAAAAACCCCACATATTTACATGCTGTTTTTTAGTGTGTATCCATCTGTGAAAGTGCCAAGTCCCTTATTGTTTGTAGACCGTCTCCTATGACAATGGCGCTTTTAATTAGTTGTGAGCTCAAAGACCATGGCAAATCTGAAATGACTTACCCTGGGATTCATGAAACAGTATTGTTCATTTGAGCAAGCTGTGTAACAAAAGCCTGAGATGAACACAATAAGTCCCTTCGGTATAGCTCACAAATATGGACAGCTTAAAGAGTGGACTTACTTGCAGATGCGTCCCAAAACTTAATTGATCCATCAGCATGTCTAAAGAAAGAGGAAGACAAGATCATTTGTCTATTAGGAGAACTAGCTAATAGGCTTAATTACTCTGGGAATTAATCAGGAAAGGATGGTAAAGTGTAAGGCATTCCATGTTGCTGCTTGCTTTAATGGCAGATATATGTATCTTAGATCTTAAAAGTCTGACAGGTGTTATTACATATTTCAAATGTTAAACTGTGCAGGGTTTGAGATTGCCTAAAAGCAGACAACTCCCAATGCATCTGTTGAGAAGAGGTTAAGATCCCTATCAAGCATATACACTTATTTCCCAACAGCTTATGCTAATGGCCGCCATGTGTATGGACTTGTAAAGTCTCTATTATGTCTGACTTACCCTGTGAGAATGATCTCTGGGTAGGTGTTGCAACCTAACGTCCACAATCCTCCGGCAATCGGCCACTCCTGACACGGTAACAGAGAGAGTGATGAATCTTTTCAAAACCCAACGTCAATCATCTATAGTTTTTTCTGATAATGTAAAGATTGAATGATATTCCAAAACATATATTCCATTAGAAAACACAGAGAGATCATGCTGAGGATTTTAGCTTTGGTTTCCAACAGCACACGCTTTCATCCACAGATACAAAACTGATTACACTGATTCATACGGTAATGATAACCCATTATTTATTTCAAGTTCATTGCAGTCATTATTTTCTGCAATTGAACATTTTTCATACATTGTGAAGATTCAGTAACCTTGAGAAGCTAAAGGAGTGATATGAAAACACTATTAGAAAACCGCCTTTATGACTTCTATTGTAGTATCTTTCAATAAAGTATAGAGAAATCACTCGATAAAAGTTTTTTTTTAATGATCCTTTTACTTTTGACTTGCTCAGGCACTCACATCTCCCCTCCCCTACTCACATCTCCCCTCCCCTACTCACATCTCCCCTCCCCTACTCACATCTCCCCTCCCCTACTCTCATCTCCCCTCCCCTACTCTCATCTCCCTCCCCTACTCACATCTCCCCTCCCCTACTCACATCTCCCCTCCCCTACCTTTTGGCTATAGCCGGTCTTCTTGTGTTTAGCTCCTATGGAGTAGAGGATGGGGATAAGGTTGGGCGGACAGTCCGCAAAATAGGCCGTGCAGGTGACTGGAGACTCGTGGATGTCCATGGGGTAAGGATTCTCACAGACAGGGTAGCTGCAACACATGTGAATTTGACATGTTTTTGCATTCAAGATTCTAAATCCACTCTTTGATATGCACAGTAGCCACAGTAGTTCTCAATTCCTAGGCACCGCCAACAGTGCCTAGGAAATATAATTAAGACCTAAAAGAGCAAGTGAAACATATTAGATAGAACTTTATTAAGGGATACAATTGTGCAAGTAAAATGCACAAACAAGTCAACTTTGTACAAGATGAGGTAAAGTAGAATGTAACATAAAATACTGTACAGTAGAATAATTACTGTGTGTTGTTAATTCAATACATCAGAGGAATACCCATATAGCTCTATGAACCTTTATGTATTTATGTAAACAAATTACAATTGCAACTGAATTATGGGTTGGACTGACTAAATGCATCACAATTAGCAAAACGTCATCTTTATCAACACTTTACCTCACTTTAATTCAAGCTGCGGCTGAGGTAGAAGTGACACTACCATGTAATTGCATAGAAATATAAAAGGTTCTGTACAAAATGTATAAATGACATTACAAAAGTCCTTGATCAGTGAACTTAATGAAGTGGGGGTTACTTTGCATTTAATCTACACCCTCACTCACTTAGTTATAATTAAAATGTCAATTTGATTAGCAGCTAATCAATAAACTGACAATGTGGACAAAATCTTGATAAAATAGAGGTACATTAAGCCATCAGGCAATATTTATATCTGGCACTTTTAATTGGGTTACCTAATTAACTAGGCAACCTCATTTAAAACCTCCTACTTACTATATAGGCCTCATTTGTTTTGCGTTGCTGCAATTGAACTGTATTCCCTTGCCTTAGGTGTTAGTCTGCCACAAGCGCACCATATCAGCATAAGAGTAAAGTGACATGTCTTTATTCTCTCCCTAAAGTAGAGATTTTAGTGACAGGTTAGATCCTTAACTCTTGTATGTGTTATTGAATGTAACATAGGGCTTATGTATAAATGATATAAGTCGTATTTTACTCTTGTATGATGTCAGGTGATATCATTTAAATTCAAAAGTGGATTTTGATATCCGCCACAAGCAGCTTAGCAGCTTTAAGGTACTTTTCTGTGGAACACGTACTTGCTCTGTGTCAGATCCACCACGATTAAGTCTTTCTCCAAAAGCACCACCACTGCATAAGGCTCCTGGACCTCTGCGGGATATAAAGCCAAGCTGTCAGGTTCATGCTTTTTCCATACTCACATCAGTTACAACCACACAGGATAAAACAATCTTTAGAGTGTTGTTAGGATACTATTTCATTTATCTACAGCCTTATTTGAACCTCAGAAATGTTTTAAAACCAAAACGAGTTTCTGACGCTAAAGTTGAATATTGTACATTCGAGTCACATTCACTGAATAGCTGAACGTTGTTTCCAAACACTTGCTGCTGTTTTGGAGACATTTACATAATGTTCTTTAGGTATGAAATATATTCAACCTGAATCACAAAGAACAAACATTTGAAAAAACATTTGAATACAGAATGTTTTTCATCTACCAGAGGTAGAGAAGGGCTTTGAGGACTTCGAACATGTCTTTCTTGAGTGTCAAATCTTTTGGATCTGTTACTTTGCAACTGTTATGGTTACATCAGCAGAACAACTCCAAACTTGTACTAAATCTGGTTGGCTTTAACACTGAGCTAAACCCAGAAGGTAGGACCCGTTCTATCATTGTCATCGCCTTCACTCACCGTTGTTGTAAGGAGTCTCGCAGAGTGCCATGAACTCCACTATAGGATAGTCCATCTCCAGCACGGTGATGGCCTTGCCGTGCATGATGGTTAGCGTTGGCCGCCGCCCCGCCTTGTCATACGAAAGCCCCCCCGAGAAGATGACAAAAGGTTCGCTGTAGTGGTGAAAGAACAGAAATGAATAAATCAACTACTTTAGAAAATATTATAAAAAATGTATTTGGATTTAAATTACAGTTCTATGCCAATAACCATAAGCAAACAACTAAATCAAAAGAGTTAGTAAAATAATGAAAAGATAAAAATATGATTTTAAACAGTTGTATTTCAACTAACGTGTTATTTCCCCTACTACTCCCCATGAGTCAATTACAAAATAATATTTTGCCAAAATCACAGAATCGTTTTGTTTCTGTAGTAAGTGCTTTATGATTATTAACTTGTCAAGAGCAACTTTCTTTTTACTTCACTAATTGATGATAAAACCACAGGATTTCCATTGATTATAACCCATTTAGAGTTTAGTTCCACTGGTACACATAATGAACTCATGCAGTTTTAATATTCAGTTAAAAAGCACACACCTGCTCCTCGAGGTCTTGTACTCCACTTTGAGGATGGGTTTACAGGACTCCTTTCTTCCATCCTTCTGTATCTTTCCTGAATTAGAGGAAACATAACACGAATGGACAACATTAAATAAGACAAAGGCACTGAAAATAAAACCTTTGTTGCCATGTAAGGAACTGTTTGGGTCACGTTTCTGTGTAACACTGTAGTGAGCTGCTTTTATGTGTGGCAGATCAATTGCTCAAATCAGAACACTGTAGTTAATGTGAATAAAAAAAAAACACAAGATAAGAGAATTAAAGGGAAACTGCCGCCTGACAACAGGAAGTTGTGTCCTTGACAGAAAAAGCACTGCCAGGTTTTAAAAAATCCAATAAGAAAACACAAAATACAATATTTCTCACAATGTACCAACAGAAGATTTAACAAATGTTAATATAAACATACAACTCTGTTTCAAGAATCTTCTTTTCTTGCATTTTATTTTGCATAAAACCTCCCTAACGGCTATATTCAATGAATCAATGCAACACTTAAAGCTCATGATTGTACAGCTGTAATTATATTGTAAGTTCTAACAGCAACTAATATGTCTCATTTTACAACAAACCCTGGCATAGTCAGAGAATATAGAGTGCTCTCCCGTATCTTTTCAATTTTCATCTGTACTAACAAAGGCAGACATTGTTTTGTTTCTTTTCTATTTTCCTCTTTCGTTCTGATTACTGTGAACTGTGTTTCCACTTCTTTTCTGGGAATGGCAGATCATTATCAGAGTTAGCGCATTACAGAGAATGATTTTTTCTCCTGCTTCGCATAATGAAATGATTATGCCTTTGATATAAAGAGGACGTCTCTCAGCCGGAAAGCCAGAGGGACCTTGGGTTTTACCTCGTAGGCGCAGTGCTCTTAACAAAGCCCTTTTTTAAAGTGAAACAACATGAAAGGAATAAAGTCTTCAAACTGGGAGACTTCACAAATGAAATACAGACATTTCAATTATCGCTATCACACTGGATTATACGGGTACCGGTAACACAGAGGGAGGCCGAAAGTCAATCATTGGCACACATCGTCCACATTGCAACGATTCAAAGCCAGTAGATCAGCACATTGTCCCTTAAGAAAACAAAAATATGTAATGTGTGTGGGAGCGAAACAACCGGAGGGAACTTGGGGATTTTAGCCTTTGAAGACCATTTACATGCACAAAAACCTATATTACACACTACAGGAAATGGAACACTCCCAAAAGCAAAATAGAGCTCCTTTAAGTCAAAATAAAAAGTTTTGTCATCATATGATACAATCTTGGCGACATTATATTTTCTACATAAACTTGTAGAAAGTGTGATTTTCAGCTGTTCATGCATTGCTTCTCATGCGGAAAACTCTATCAGCCAGCCAAAGCTCTGGGTGACGGTGACTTATCATCACAGATAAGGCTCAAAGGTGCTGGATTACACACTGAAAGGTTTCAGCAGGAACAGGGAATATCAGGAATAAACTATTGTAAGCCTTTTTATTGGACAAGCACATGGCTATACATACACGTAACATGTGATTCCAGTCTCACTATATGACCATTATAGTTGCATTTACAAAATGTATTGCACCCTGTCTATTATAAATGTCATTTTTTGTTTCCACGTTTTCAGTTCAGTCTATCCTTTTTAAATAAATGTCACTGCTCAATGTTCTGCTCTCAGCATCGTTGGTGTCCTTTCCCCTTGTGGACATCGCTCTACTCCTCCTTTCCTCTAGGTTTTATAGTAGCCCACATTCATTCATGCAAGCACTTAAAAAAACACAGTTTGTTCCTTTCCTCAGGGACACACATGACCCACAGCCTTGAATGCTGTCTTCCAATCCTGACCCGGTGTTTGTTAAAACTAAAGTGACAAAGAATACAATAGCTTCTAATAGGAAAGTTATAGTTCAGACTTTTCTTTTCCGTCAAGTATTTCCAACATGGCAATAAAGATACAGTTATATATAAATATACTAATAGTTTACTTTGAAAGGTGCATAGACTCCCTATCTCTGGTTAGGTAATTATATGCAAAATACTAAAACATATGATAACGTTGATGAATCGTTAAATCATTAAAATTGCGACTGCTGCTGATTTATTGTCATGACAAAAACATACGTGTCTTTATGTATACAAAAAGGGATGTAAGGCTGGATAATTGATATGGCTTATGGTTGTTTTGCTCATGGTAGTGCAATGTTTTGATGTTGCTCCCACAGTAAGTTCAGATCGAGGTCTCCCTCTAGCTAAGATGCCTGACCGAGCACGACCGGTGACATCAGCATCCAGGAAGCAAACGCCACGATTACCAAGTTAATGTGAGCACTGAGGGATTTGAATGAGAAATCACAACTCTCTACAGATGTGATGGTTGTGGTGGTGTGATGATTAGCTTACAGTGCAAGAATCAGCAAGTTTTTTAAATAATGTAATAATAAATGTGTTTATTTACTACTTTCAAATAGGGTGATTGCACTACTGCCAGGTGATACCATGTTTACTGTCTCTGATGTTTCAGCTTTCTCTCCCCTCGCTCTTCCCCTTCCTTTCACTGTCACCCTGTGCGATACCACATATCTGACACATATCTGGCAAATAAAGCATCTGCTGGCATTTAACCACGCCATCAGGCCTGTTGCCCCGTTCCTATCATTCAATCGCCCACATCCTTCCCTCTTGCCTTCCTGTTTTTTGATTTAGCCTCAGATCACAGCTAACATCAAGTGACTATTCATCACCAGAGATATGACACGGTCAGGATACCCTGCCAGTGCTCAAAGCACGCCAGAGGAGGAGACAAACAGACGGGGGATCAGTCAGAGGCAGAGCTCATGGAGATGCATGTGGTGTGAAAGTCGTTCATCGAAACCAGTGTACCAGTTTTCTTACCTGACAGCCAAATTGCGGCCGTGACAAAAAACACAGTCATTTTTACATTAGCTTTATCATGTATTCTAAGTGCTGATACCTGGCAATAAGATAGGTTGAAAAATACATAGTTGGTGGCTGGTTAGATTCAGAAAAAGCATTTCTGTATGTCAGGTTAAAACACCAGGGAACAATCCCTTTATTATTAACTAAACTTTTCTGTTACAAATTGCAGTTATTACAGCTGACAAATCTGAAATACTTTTCAGGCAGTAAGGGGTACAGTACAATTTTACCTTTTTCATTATGCTTTTTTTGAAGAAAAAGCCTTTCTGTGGGTTCACAGGTTAAAGTAATGTTTTTTTCCATACATAAAACAGAAACATTTGCATAGACTTTTCTTTTTGCGGCTGCTTTTAATTGATATATTCATATCTCACACTGCACTGTAACCTTTATTCTTGTACCTGTGTTATTCATGTATTATTATCTTTGCTTTTAAATGTATTTAAATGCCATTTTATAATATGTTCCTCTTAATGTCTTTCATTTTTAGTAAAGCACTTTGAAGTGCCTTGTGTTGAAAGGTGCTATTTAAATAAACTTGCCTTGCCTAAATAACAATACAAAACATGAAGCTGGATTTATTGTCTGCTTAGATTTCCTGAAGGTGTTTGAAAAGCAACCCATGAAGTATTCATTTTAGCTTAAATTCATGAAATTAGAGGTTGATGCTCAAGGATATTCAATTTGTGTCGCTGAATTGCAGTTGCTTACAGCCCAAGGTCCACGTTTTTACAGCAAAGGATTATCAAAGTTTCATTTTGTTAAGTAACTAAAGAAAAACATGTACACTGTGGGCGTGTTCTCACCATGAGGGAAGGTGACCTGGAATGGCTTGAGGGTGTTTCTGAGGTTCCACATGGACAGGCTGCCGTCTGAGTGACTACACATGAACTGCTTCCCTTCGTGATGCCAGCCGGCTGAATGGATGGCCTGGACAGATAAAACATTGGAAAAACATTAAAACAAGCATGCGATGAACATTACACAGTGTGTCAACATATTCAAGATTAGTTTCAGAATCTCTTATTTATTTGAATAAAGGGACAAAGGTTAAAATGCCTTTTCCAAATACAGAAATGTACTTTATAAGCCAAACATCTGCCAAACAACCTGTTGCTCTATTACGCTCCTATAAAAAAATACTATAGAAGCCACTCTCTGCGGTTCTTATGTAGAAACAGAAAGATCTTAAGGTTAGGGTTGTACTGCAAGTAACATAATAACAACATATCCACAGGGAATTGAAATGCTTTATATGTATGGCTCTGTGGCAGTGTTCAAGCTTTGAAAACTGACTTTCAGTCCTGTGATGTGCATGCTGAGAGACCCCAGTTAAGTGCAGCAACAAATGATGCAATTTCTGAGCCAAAACAACAATAACAAAGCAGTAATGAGGCTCAGAGCAGAAGCCTGCTTTCCTTTCTTTGCCCTGCACTCACTGTGTATCTGATGTTGCCTTCTAAGCACTCAGTGTACTCGTCGCACAATTCATCAAACAGCCACAGAATCTATAATCTGCCTATTTAAACCTGATGCTTCCTTTTTCCTGTCATTTCAGTGTTATTTCAGTACCCTTTACACCCACCACTGTCAAAGCCATGTTCCCAAGAGGAGCCATTGGGGTCATTAGGAGATATGTCACAGAAAACCAATAAAACACATTCTCGGCTGCACACAATGTGAACATCTACAACAAAAAGGAAAATCCTGCTTCAATTTTCTTTTGGCCAAACATCAGAATAATGTAGTTATTGCCCTTGCTGGAGATAATGCACATCATTAACATTGCTTCTACATTTAAATGTATGGAGTGTATCCTAGAAAGAAGACCTCCTTTAAAACATATTTGACTGCTTGTTATGTCAAATGCATAGAGGTTATTATAAAGTTATGCTGTGAGGGCATTCATTTGGCATTACATTATTTGAATTAATTTTTCCCAATATGCACCAGCTTTCAGTATTTAAAATATGTGATTAAGACTTAGGTGCATGACCTTAAATGTTTTAATGTGCAACATTTTGTTTCCAGATAAAGTTAATGTCAAGTAAAGCCAGATCACAATTTTAGATGTTTTTTTTCGCTTTTTAGAGAGCTTCAAGCCTACATAGTTAGTTTCCTTCACCAACTGTACATTTGAAGCAGTGCTTTTTGAAAAAAAAATGATACAGACCTTTGTAATGTTTGATTTATGAGCAGGAGCATATAAAGGTTTCCAATTACACCAGAAAGAAGCTATGACGCTGTACTTCCTCCCTTTTGTCTTTGGGATATAGTCGTTTTCTGTGTACTCTGCTGAAGAGGTGTGAGACATGATGCTGTGCAGGAGGTGAAGCACATAAAACAACATTAATGAATGTGAGCAGGATGTGACTCTTCACAGGAGACGGGACAGGAGATGAGAGGTGGCAGCGGATGCAGAGGATAAGTGCCATGAGGTGAAAATGTCTATACATAATTGGACAGCCTTCTGGGGAAAACCTGGTCTGATTAAGAGAGACGGCATTCATCCTACTTTGGAAGGTGCAAATCTCATTTCGGCAAACATTTCAGGGCTTTGTGGACTTAATCCATGACAAACTGGAGTTGAGACCAGGAGGCAGAGTCGCAGTCTTACACGCTTCTCTGCGCTCTCTCCTAGGCAGTCATCCATAGGAATCCCGAACCCAATAAAATACCCAATATTAACGGTGTGTGTGTCTGCCCAAGGACAATTTAAGGTAAAACCTAATAGAGGTGTCATACATAATAACCTAATAAAAGTAAATGTAACAACTACTACAGTGCAACAAAACAGGAAGATTAAATGTGGTCTCTTAAACATAAGATCTCTAGCATCTAAAGCAATATTGGTAAATGATTTAATATCAGATTATAATATTGATATATGCTGTCTCACTGAAACTTGGTTGAGACATGAAGAATATGTCAGCATAAATGAGTTGCAGCAATCTTTGACTCAAGTTTACTTATCAATACTAAACAAAAATTAAATGATACCTCCTTTGAAAGCCTCATTTTCAGTCTTACGCATCCGACCTGGAAAACTTTGCAGCCAATCTTATTTGTTACAGTGTACCGTGCACCAGGTCCTTATTCAGAATTTTTATCAGAATTCTCTGAGTTTTTATCAACTTTGGTACTTAAAACAGATAAAGTAATTATCGTAGGTGACTTTAATATTCATGTTGACGATGATAAAAATAGCCTTACTGTTGCATTTAACTCTATATTAGATTCTGTTGGTTTCTGTCAGAGTGTAAATAAACCAACCCACTGCTATAATCACACTCTTGACCTTGTTCTGACTTATGGTATTGAAATTGAGCAACTATTAGTCGAACCGCATAATCCTGCTTTATCCGACCATTTCTTAGTAACTTTTGAAGTACTGTTACTAGACTACAAAGCATTAGCCAAAAGCTCCTGCAGCAGAAACCTATCTGTTAGTGCTATAGCCAAATTTAAGGAAGAGATTCCACCAATACTTAACTCGATAGCATGTCTGCATGTAGGGGAGGAAACTTATACAAAATGTACACCACCCCAAATTGATCATGTTGTTGATAGTGCTACAGATGCGCTGCGAATAAAATTAGACTCTGTTGCTCCTTTGAAAAAGAAGAAAATAAAACAACATAGATTAGCTCCATGGCATAATGCCGAAACCCGCAAAATAAAGCAAAAGTCGAGACAACTTGAAAGGATATGGC